GGTTTGCTGAGTACTTTTGGCCACACGTACATGTCTTAGGGCTGTCCTTTAAGTTCAGGTTGTACCTGAGAGCTATTGCATCTGAGAACTGTTGTTTGTTCATCAGATATCCATACTCTTTTAAAGGTAGTGCTGTTAACCAAGCACTTGCCCCTTTCTCAGCAGCTAGTTGGAACATCAACTTTGCCAGTGGTGTTGACTCGAGCTCCTGGCGTATTTCCGCTTGTTTTTGTCGATAGAAGAGATTTCGTTCAGTTGTTATCTCATTTTTCACTCCTTTGCTTACTCTCCAGTCCTCTGTGTAGTTGTCTACCTGCTTGAGAATAGCTTCTTTAAGGGGTTTTGTGGCTCTACATGAGAATTTGTACTCTCGGTCTGCCATGTCCATCATAACTGGTATACCCAATCCTCCATATCTTGGTGGTAGAGCCATTATGTTCCTTAGTTCATCAGTGCAGCTAAACAGCCTGTTGATGATAGCTGGGATAAACTCATCGCGTGTTACTTGTTCCAGAGGAGTGAGCCTATCTGCAACTCCTGGGGTAGTTCTGCACACATAGTTCCATCTTTTACTAAGCTCATACATGTATGCACTGTATGCTATTTGAGGTTCTCTTGATGCTATATCACTTAATTGTTTAAGATCACGACACCATTCTTGAACTTTTTCCTCGATGAAAGCCCCTTTTCCTTCATCAGTTCCGATAAAGCTGCCCAGATATCGTCGACCAATACTTGTCACATTGACATCTGGGAACAAGTTTCTTGCCTTCTCTTCGTGCTCAGGCTTGACTATCACCCATGTCTTGGAAGATTTAGGGTTGTAACCAAAAAGTGGTCCTTTAATGCAGAGGTTATCCCACCATTTCCTCATTTCTTCCAGTTTTCCCCCAGCAGCAGAGTCATCAGCATACCAGATCTGAGTCACTTTTCTCTCAATGTTTCCTGCATCAATCAATGGTATTGTACCACATGCATAAAATCCCATAGCAGGTGGATCACCTTGTGTTGTCCCTTCTTCACTAAAAAGATGTTCATCTTCTCCTGCAATAAACAGTCTAGCAGGCATTCTGTAGGTGTTCATAATGTAGGTAGCAACTTCTGGACATACAATATACATGTTGTTAAGAGCTGCCTCTCGGTTCAGCAAGTTGAATGCATTCTCTGCATCCACTAAGATGATGGCTTCAGTTTCAGGATCTTCAAAGCAGTCCCTCGCAGCATGAACAGCTGCTTCCACTCCTCCCTGAAGACCAGCACACACTTGAATAGGAGCAGTGGCACCAACCAGATCCTTCTGTAGGAGGGTCATCACTGTCTTCCCTATTATCCTTCGTAAGACTTCACCAATGCCAACAGGCCTGACGCCAGGCTTTTTATCCAGGGGAACAAGTCGACATGCTGTCAATGAGGTCAACATCGTTGGATCCAGATTCCTGACACATAGTTTCCTTGCTATCCCTGCTATAGCATTGCATAGATCCTCACACTTCTTACCAAACTGTTTAGAACACAGTAGTCTCTTCCACGCATCCGCATCCATTCCTGAAGGCCCTGCAGCACCCTGTACTCTCTTTGCTGCTTGTCTTATCGATTCCCTGTCAATACTGTCAAAGATAACCGGCTCTACTCTCCTCACTGGTCCACTCAGACAGCTTCCCTTTGATGCAGGTGATGCCCTGGGATGCTTCTCTTTCAGTACTTTTATCACATCTGGAGTGGGTTCAAGAATCCCGGTGGCATTTTCGCCAATCCACCTCATTGCTGCACTGACTTTACCTTTCATCATAAGTCGAGTGAAGACTCTCTCAACATGGCCATGTTCATGTTTCCCCTTTCCCATTCTTCTCTGAATCTCCTGTCCTTCTCGCAGCAACTCTTCTAACTTACCTGCCTGCCACAAAACAAGCCTTCTCTTCAACACTTCAGTGTGTTCCTTTGCTTTGGATCTCTTTGAGGGTTTCTGCAACAGTAGTGATGGCATTATCATCAAAAGGGTCATGGTCACTGATTCCATAGTACTGCCTGCTGAAAAATTGTTGGCCACTTTAGTCATTTCCTCGATGAATGCTTTTCCTGCAGCCCCTGAGGGAAGCAGAAATATGTTTCTTCTCCATTTGACTACAACATCATATATTCCCTCACATTGTGTTAGAACTTCCCAACTATTCCATGATCCTAATTTCAATTGAGATGGATCCCTTACATTTTCATAACCTGGGAAACAGCACTCCTTTCCCTCTTCTTCCACAATATGAGGGTCCTTTGATATTGGAGTAGATGGTTGTACACTTTCTTCGACCTGTCTCCTCAACTTTCGGATAGCTTCAGTTATGGGGTTTTCGTCTTCGTCTTCGTTGCTCTTCTCCTCCTTGCCACATCTTTGACATGACCACTCAGAATCCTCATTTTCTGCTAGGTCTTTAAACTGCAACTCCGACAGTCCACTACATGCCACATGGAACCATCGTCCACATTTTCCTTCACATTGAATACAATCACATATTACCTCCTTTGAACAAAATCCACAGATATCAGCTTTCTTTCCAGTTTGCTTTCCTACTTTGGACCTAGTGTCCATTTTTCTTGTGTCAGGCATTCCAACCCAAAAATGGGAACCACTACTGTTGCCGAGTCGGTTACCAGCAGACACTGAAGCTTACCGCTGTCAGCCCCTACTGGATACGAGTCTCCTTAACAGTAGTGGACCCAAATTTGGGATCTGATGGAGTAGTCTCAACACCAGAGGATTTTACAGCTCAAGCAAAATTAAATTAACATTTGATCACCATTATACCTTTGACTAAACTTTCTAAACAGATTATTATATCAGATATAAACTTTTTTTAAAAGTATTTTGCATTAATTAAATAGGTAAAAATATGAAAAGGTACTTAAAATATTAAAATGTTGTCATACGTTGTATGACCCGCCTTGCTACACGTTGTATACCTCTCGTGCACGCGAAGCGTGCACGCCGGCCGGCCGCTCAAAAGGGGTTACAGCGTGTGTCAAGACCCGCCGCGCACGAGTGCATTGCATGGATCCCCCTGTATCGTATCCATTTAGTGAAACGACAATGGGGGTCACGACATGATACAATACAAATTATGAAAATGCAAGACTCTTTCATCTTTGGCGCCGCGCACTTTAATATTTAATACTTAGTGTACTGTTACTAGGCAGCGTTCAGCCTGTTGTCCTACCATGCCATATTTTTAATAAACACAAAACCCTAAAATCTCCAAGTAACACTTAACGTGGCTAATATTTTGCTAAGCTAAGCATATAAGTATGTTATTAATTAGAATGTCCATGTTATGCATATAATTTCACCTAACCATGTGCTTTCGCGCCACTGCGGGCGCCCTTGTTTCACAAGTCAAGGCGCGGCGGGCGCGCGCTACTGCAAGCGCAAGGGCTTTGGATAGAGCAACATATAATAGCAGAAAAATATTTTAGACAATATATGCAATAAATGCAACGAAACAAAGCAAAGCTAAATTTTTAAATAATTTTAAGAACACTAGTTACTAGTATACTACTTTTATGTATTTTTGTATTGTTGTTTCGTGGCGCCGCGCGCGCATATTTTTGCCCAAATGTGACTACGTAATATGCGAACAATCTTTTAAAAGTGTAAAAATATATAATTGCTTATGCTGTTATAAACAAATTAACTTTTAAAACCAAGCATAAAGCATTTGACGGATGTTACTCGTCTAAATTTCTTCGAAGTAGCGCGCGCCGCTTTCTTCTCGAAATGGCCCGATGGCAAGTGCTACGAAGTAGCGAGCGCCGGGCCAGATCATTAACAATGGTCAAATAAAGCATTAACAGCTCATATTTAATCTATTTTCATAATTTTCTGTTGATTGGAGCCTTAGCCTCTGGATACGTTTTTATGTTCTACTTGTAGCGTAAAAACTTTAGTTAACATTTTTGTAAACAAATTATTATTGTTTCATTGAATTTGTTTCACAAAAAATTTGTTTCACTAAATATGAACGCTGCAACAATAAACCAAATCTCTGTATCCAATTTACAACACAAGCAACCTGGGCCCTGGCCACATATTTTTAAATCCATTGAGTTCCCTTTCCCAAGTTTTATTATGATTTAAGATTTAAGATTAAACATTTAATCCTTGTGATTTTTAAGATTCGTTAACAAAAGTTGAAAAATAGAATTTTCAGATATAGTTTGTAGTTCTCACTGCCATATTGCATTCTTCAAAGTATGTCCTTTAACTGCCAAATCCAATGAGCCAGGGCCAGTACATAAATACCAGACAGTTATAGTATAGTTAATAGCACTATGTTTACAGTATGCACTGAAGAGGTATCCTAGGAAGTTTCTTGAACTTTTAACAGGTACCCCTCCTCATTTAACCCTCAATTAAGTTTCCTATTATTCGGCTGAGTCGACCGGATCCAATGGATCCTTAGCTACTCCCTAGACTAGGTGACACTGGAATTCGAACCCTGAACCTTCTGCGCAGAAGGCGGATGCTCTAACTACTAGACCACAATTTAACTGGGGACCTCAGGCTATCATGTTCATAAACAGATTCGGCGGAATGACAGGCTGAGCGCGGCCCAGTAAGACCACAATAAACTACTTAGCTAACTAAAATAAAACAATAAAGATATGTAATTAAAAACAAATTAGCATACAATCCCAGTGTGAGCTGATCACAGAGCACCAATTTCTGGAGGATCTAGATCCACTATTTAAACAAGGTTTAATTTCAAATATTTAGCTATTTTCAAGGTTTATTTCCGAATAGTTCTTTAATACCGTAACTCATTGCATCAAACATTAACTTTATAGCACCTTCCTGACTGAGGCTCAGAATTTTGACTTGAAAATGATATTTTGCATTTCCACGATTTTTTATCATAAGTTTTTGTGCAAATTTGCGCTAGCTGTTCTGCACTTCTTCGTCAAGAAGCACAACAAATATCTAATTCCTATTCAAATTCAAATCTTCTCCTAGAATGAGTCTTTTAAAGCTGAGGAAAGTGCTTGTCAGTGACAAAATAGCCAATGACTGTCTAGAAGCATTCAAAGGAAAAGGTGTTGAGGTGACATACAAGCCTGGATTATCAAAGACAGAGTTGCTAGACATTATTCCTGAATACAATGGAATAATTGTAAGATCTGCTACAAAAGTCACTGCTGATGTTATAAAAGCGGCTGTTAATTTAGAGGTATGTCCCGCCCCCTTGGAAATGAAATTAAAATTAGAAAAACATCTAAATATTAAATTACAGTAAAACATTTCAAATCATTCAACATGCAATTGATTATATAGGAGCTATTGTATATAAATAACTAATAAGGTGCTTAAGAGTTTAAGTCAATACTTTCTATTTTCATTAATATTTCCCTTTTTAGATAATCGGCAGAGCTGGAACAGGAACTGACAACATAGACCAAGCTGCTGCATCGGATGCAGGTGTGGTGGTGATGAACACTCCCGGTGGCAATACAAACAGCGCTGCAGAACACACTTGTGCTCTTATTATGGCTATGTGTAGAAACCTGGCAAATCGCCATACTGAACTCATGAATGGAGAGTGGAACAGGATAAATGGTTTGTTAGTGTTTCACAACTTCAAATATTGATTAAGAGATGTTGTTAAATAGTTTTACTGCTATGTTTATAATGCAAGTCCCTTAGTATCCACTGTACATGATAAGATCTTATGTTAGGCTAGTAGGCTAAACGAATTGTTTCAGGAATTGAATTGTCTGGTAAAACTGTGGGAATAATTGGACTTGGAAGGATTGGAATGATAGTTGCACATCGAATGCAAGCATTTGGTATGAAAACTGTAGGATATGATCCCTTTGTAACAGCTGCTGCAGCTGCAGAAAAGGGTGTCGAGTTCCTGCAATTGGAAGATATGTGGCCAGTCTGTGACTTTCTCACCATCCACGTCCCTCTCCTGCCATCAACAAAACACATGATGAACAGTGCAGTATTTGACAAATGCAAGAAAGGTGTCAGAATAGTAAACTGTGCCCGAGGAGGTAAATATATTTAACATTCCTATCAGTAGGTTTATCTTTAATAATACCTCATGAATGAGATGTGAATTGCTGAAATGGATTTAGCCTTATTAACTCACCAGTGCAGTGAGAATTACAATGATATCTACAGGAATAATTGATGAAGAAGCTCTCTTGGAGAACCTGAACTCAGGAAAAGTAGCGTGTGCTGCTCTTGATGTCTTTGAGAAGGAACCTCCCTCAGCTGACTCACCTTTACTGCAACACTCCAACCTCATTGCTACCCCTCATCTAGGTTTCTTTCTGTGCTTTCTTTTAATAGATAAACCAATCGGTTCTTATGTTATCTTTAACATTTGTATTTATTATGGATAATAAAGTTAATAATGTAATGGCAGATACAAATATATTTTCAACTTATAGACCTGAACTATCAACACTGAAATTAAATACTACCAAACATACAAAAAATCTGTGTTAATTTGTACGCTGTATACGCTTTATACATGTGATATGTTTTAGGTGCCAGCACGGCTGAAGCACAAACACGGGTAGCTAAAGAGATAGCAGAGCAGTTTCTAGCTCTACGTGATGGTAAATCTACATTTGGGTGCCTCAATGCTCCTTTGCTTAGGTGATTATAATATATAATATTTATATTCTTGCAAACACTGTCCCCACAGACTTGAATATATTTGTATCCCCTTAGTGTACTTCTAGCGGTTATAATCGATCACACGTTTACTAAATTGGCTCATGACTATTGGCGTCTGACAATTAACGGTTAAACTTAAGCTTTAATTGATCTAAGCTATTATTATCTGCGTTCGATCTGCTCTCTCTATAATTACGAGTATAGGACACGAGGGCGAAGGACACAGTAGCAGAAACCTGCCTAACCCTAAAATGGTGTCAAGACTCAAGAGGCACTTACCAAGTTAATACATCTAGAGGGGGGTTATTTAAAGCATTATATATAAGTGATACGAAATGTTTGTTTAACAAGAGCTTTCAAATACATGTGTAATTCGTCTTCAGCTGTAGTTAATACAGTACCGGAGAATATTGATGCTATTACAAACACTATCCCCACAGTGTTTGTAAGAGTAGCAATATTTCAATATTAACTAGTTTTAAATTCTGCGTAAATAATAACATTTTACACTTTTCAATACTTTTTAATATTGCGAAGTGTAAAAATGTAGAATAACGAACCTATTATGATAAGTTCAGCAGGGTCACATGACGTCATCTCTCCAGAACCAAGTTTTAGATCCAACTTGAATTTCTTTTCTCCAGCATCTGTAAACTTTTCCGTTGTGAACATTACCTGTCTGCCATCTGTTATGCACGTGGTATACAATCCCGTGCAACTGTGCTCTACGTTATCAATGCTCCAGGTTATTTCAGCTGCTTCCCACTCCACATCAGAGCTTACTGTTGCTGTGAGGGTAGCTGCCTTGCCCACTCGGGTCAACTCTGGTTTACAAACTAATGTAATACCTGAGAATTATAACTTAGTTATTTATCGTAGTTTATGATAATTATCATGAATTATTATCATATTACAAATTGAATTTTACGTGTAACATTAAGAGTTAAGCGATGCCGTTAAATGTTTTTGCGTGTTACTATAAATAATGACTATGATATTATGTTATACTTTAACTTAGATGTGAGGTAAAATTGTACACTAAGGATATAATAAATATTCCTTTAATACCATATTATATTCGTATCTCGAAGCTATTTGAAAATGTCTCACTTGGTGCTGGGTTACAAGTTGGTGGATTGTTGAAGGCTGGATTTGGTCCACTCCCACAAGTCAATGTTGCACTTCCGGTCAGTAACAAGTTCTCATCAGCACATTCCACTGTTACTAATGCTCCTTCAAGTACAGGAAGAGTATCCTCGGTTGTGAGATGTGATGGGAGTATTGAGCACCCTGAGTGATTGTTAGTCAATAAGTGTATTTGAATCATTCCGCTATAGCTGCGGTTACGAATCCCTCATTTATCAGTGGACATTTTTCGTTTTATGGTATGATGGTACTATAAATGTATGTATTTGATTCTAGTTATAACATATTTTAATTGCGACTTATTACTGTCTTTGGATCATTTTCTGTTAATACGCAACAACTTCTTACCTTGAACTTTTTGGGCTATCTTGTAATCAGTCACGACTGTCGTGTGACCACCACCTATTTCCACAGTACTAGATATGTGGCTCCAAGTCTTTGAACATTCAGAATTTTGAGAACTTTCAAATGTGAATTCAACCATTTGTTGGCGACCGCAGTCTATTGAAAATCTATCAGCGAAAAATTCAAATTTCCAATTTGTTTCAATACAATCGAATGAGATATCTTCGTAACCTAAGCAATCACGCATATAGATCCACTTATTACCACTAGGTTTGACTGACAGTGATAAAAGGCCCATATACGATATTATATATGTGTCACTGTCCGTGTAGTAGAAAAATAATTTAATATCGCCTGGAACAGATGATGTCTTGAAATACAAGATTTGCTCAGCTGAGTTGAAAGCAGTTTCAACAGTGTCCGCGTGTTTGATCCAACCTGATGATTTAGATAAATAGAGTCTGATCGCTATCGGCTATACATTTTCTTGTCTTTAATTAAAATCGTCTGATTATTAAAATTAGGTTAAGAGAACCGAATATTTACTAAAAGAATGAAGTAAACAAATATTTTTCCTTCCCGACAGCCATAACTATAAGTACTCCTAAGAGGGAAGCCTTTTAGGATTTTATTTGTTTTTTGTCAACAGCTTTCACCCTATTTTTTCATGAAAAGTCTAACCGCATTCCTAGTCAGCATGATAAATGCTTTAAATCCCCTACAAGTTGTATATCCACAAGTGTAAAACTAAGTTACTGTATAACTCACCATCAGAAGCGTTCCCCATCAAGAACAACAGACTACTGGACAGTAGAACTGCTGTTATAAACATGATCAGAGTTCTTCTCAATCAGCTCTCTGTCAAGTCCTTTAACTTCTACTTTTTGGAAGACAAAATATAGGCAAATATTCTTTGAAAATAAATCTTGAACAAAATGTTAAGTTAACCACTCGTAGAAGAACTAAACAAAGTGGTAGCTCTCTACTAGAAGTTCAGTGAGCAGATCCTCCATATCCTCGTGACTAAGATGAGGTAGACTAATGGTTACAGACAGGTGACATGTTTCAATGTTATTAGGGATCGTTTACACATTATCAGCCGAAGAGGGCCAGGGAGGGGCTGGGAATTGTGGGAAATGCTTGCGGAGTTGCTGCACAATAGATTTGTGAACTTATTGCATTAGTCTGGCACACCACTCCCTAGTTTAATACTGGTACCTCCTGAGCTAGTTTATTTTGTGAGATTCTTGAAGGACGTTACATTAGCCTAACTGTAGATAATGACTAGCACAAGCGAGTCCAAGGTTATTTATTGTCTTAATACACTTTGTGCTACTTGTAGTTCACAGCAATCACGACACCACATAATACAAATACTTAGTGAAAGTTTGTTCAATATTATTAAAATAAAAACTGTTGAAGAAGAATTCTAAAAAATACGAAAATTCTTTTTTGATGATAAATAATGTTAATGTTATCTCTTAATACTCCTTTTTCAGAGGTGCACTAAGTCAACCAGTGAAAGCGAAGCTTGCTCAGCAGCTGGGAATGTTGCTCTATACTCTCAACCCTAAAGCTGATGTTCTCACTGTTCAGGGAGATGATGAATCCTTCGTTCCTTACGTAAGAGTGATTCGGTTAAAATGTATCATAATTTAGGTAATAAGTTCTTAAATCTTAATTCGAAAATAGAAAAGATGAAAAAATTGCGAACGCTCGGAGCGGAAAATATATAGACCGGGGACACCTGAGAATGAGTAGACCGTAGGTCAAAGTGAGTAACGGCCAACGGGCAGTGCAACCCATCATACTGTGCCTCTTGAATACAAGATAATCCAGGGCCAGGGGAGTCAGAAGGATTTTACTTTTAATGTTTTATTAAGATTTGAGGTTATGAGCAATTTTAGTTATTTATTTTGAGGCGTCAAGGATATTTTAAGTGGTAGGATTTTTGACATAAATTGTAATATAACTGGGGAAGGTTGCCAATCGCGCACTTGAATTATTCAAAATACAAAGTCTTTTGCTCTTCTATCAGGCACTAATGTGGAACTAATACTATTTTTCAGGCTGTAATGGCAGGCTATCTCAATGCTAAAGGAATCTCCGCTGCCAATCTCATCAGCATCAAGAAGGTGGCTGATGTAAATGGGCTCTCTTTCCAGTAAGTTATTTTACTTACTCTAAAGAAGCGAGTATCGAATAGGAAGATCCTATATTTCCTACTTCCTGCTGTTTACTGTCTAGTTCCCAGTGTCCATGTTTAGTGTTTACCTACCTACTTATAATATGTATTGTGAGGAGAGTTAGGACTCCTCCAACTACATTAATATATACATAATATGCATTTCTGATGTAATTCTAAAAATTTCACTAGGCTCCAGATATGATTCTCTTGATTTGAAAAGTCACAACTTTCTGATCTCCGACATTCACAGGTACACAGCGACTTCAGAGGATCTAACTGTGGAGTGTGGTGATGTGAAGTTGAGTGGCAGGTTCGACGGAGTGACCAGTTTCCTGACTAAAGTTAACAGTGTTTCCACAAACATCCCTCTCGCAGGTAACTATTAGTAATAATCCATCTTAAATCCTCGCAGTAAGTGAGTAAAATATCAACGGGTTACGTGAGCACTGAGCACAGAGCACAGGATAGTCGTTAGTCGGAGAAAAGAAGATAAAACTGAGCTTCAATGTGAGATTATATGGTCTGACGTGAACTCACTGAATAATTTACAGAGTGAACGACTAGTAGTTCTAGAAGTGTCACCTCACCGGCTCACCCTCTAAACTCTCGAATATTATAATATGGTAATTTTAAAACCACCCATTCCCATCCCTGTCCTCCTGCCTGTATTACCTGTCCCCGGCCCTGGTTGCTGGTGAGTTGTGAGACTAATATGTTACTGCATCTCCCCTCCAACTCTCTTCTTCGGTCATGAGTCACAAAACAAAAGAACTGATTTGAGATTAAGACAAATTCCAAACCATTTATTCGTCTCTTGTGTATAATCTGCATTCAAGAGAACCCAGTAAACTTGGTATTTAGTTGGTACTCACACTTGCATAATGAAGGACAGATTGATCATCCACTAAATTCTGCCCCATATTTGGCCCGCCATATCAACAACACGTAAAAAACCCGAAAAATCGCAGCAATAAATGACAATTTGAGGTTCGCCAAGATAATATTATATTACTTATGTAACGAGTTGAAAAAGGAAATAAACTTAGAAATGATTAAATATTACAGTAAGCTAATATATATGGCAAGTATTTGTACTGACCCTACCCCCCTTCTCAGGAAGTGTAACAGTTGTGAGATCAGGAACTGCTCTCTACAATCAACTCCCTTCTCTGTCTGGTCACGTGACTGGAGTCCACTTTGCTGGTGACGTCACGATCCTGTCTCACTCCGGCAAGACACTGGAGAGTGACAAACTGGAGACACTAGGAACTGTGGCTCTGTGTTAGGAGTCAGACTGTGAGACGTGTCACGTGTCACGTGTCTCGTGTCACGTGTCTCGTGTCACGTGTCACGTGTCTCGTGTCATGTGTGGAGTCTGCACTTCTCATTTCTTAAATTTATTCGTTTCTTATGATATTGTTATTAGTGAGTTGGAGTGCTGAATTTTTACAATTTATTGTGCTTTTTTAGGGTTTTAATTAACGTAAACTTTTTTTATATTTTGATGAATGACATTTTAACAAGAAGAATTCTGGATTTAAGAAGTCATTTTGCGCAATTTTGTTATTTAAAAAAATTCTAAATATTATTATATCTATTTCTTGTCGTTATATGATATTTTTGGGTTTACAATTCTAGTATTGTGGGCACTATTTATTTTAAGTTTGAATATAATAATATAGAAATTATAAAACCATGACTATTAAAATCTTATTTTCTAGTTTTTGAATTCAAATCATCCCTTGTATCATTCCATGATTTATTAATGCAGTATAAACCCTATTTGAGAAAACAAAGCTTTCGAACCTCCGAAAAATCCTCAGATAGTGAAATAGTGAACGTCATTGTAATTCTACTCTGCACTTTTAGTGATATTGTGTAATATGAATTTACATGAATAGCGGACCGCTGATAAATGGCTTAATTTTAACAAACAATGATAACACAACTCTAATACCTCACATCCGATTTTACACTCGAGGTAAAATCCCTGGACCATATTACTGTGTGTAATACTATTGTTTACACGTCAAGTATATCCTGAATATGCGGGGTAAAACGTGGCACACAGTGAGCGGTAGTTCTACTACCGCTCTATCCGCTCAGGTGTCTGACCGGCGTGATAGAGAGCGATAATCCTGAAAACTAGAGTAATGTAGTGTAGTTCACATTCAGGAGGTGAAGTAATTAATTAATAGTGTTAACAATCATTGTTTTTAGGATGTCCATGCAATCCTTCGAGTTTGATGAATCCACTATTCATGTGAGCAATTTTAAATTAGTTAATTTATGAATTAATTTCCACGTCAACAATACAATCTGAACTATATCATGTAGCAGGTAGCTACTAACTCAACGACTATGTATAATAAGACTTTCACTGGTTAATATCCAGGGGACCTCAGCCATGGATAGACCTGGTAGTGGCAATGCTAGAGCAAGGAGGAAGGAGGAGAAGAGGAACAACGGTAGAATGAACGGTTAGTTTTCTGTCATCATGTTTGAAGGTAAAAATATTTGACTGTCCTTTGTACGAAAGCAATTCGAGAATCTGCGGCAAATTCGAATCAAGATTTTCTAAAGAATGTATTTTTAGGTTCACCATACGGTGCGAATCCGGTTAATCCTAGACAGGCTTGGCTTAACTCGATGAATCAAGGACAGAGTTTTAATAATATGGCAAGCAGTGGGTATGGTTTAAAAGAACCTATTAATGCACCCTCAAAAGTAAGTTCTTATTACTTTTGAATGCTTGCTTTGCTGAATATACATCGCATATAGCATTCCTTTCTGCAATAGCATTCCTTTCTCTTAAATTTCTTTATCGTATTACGTTAGTACAATATTTACGTTTGAGCACACTAACTATCGAGTATTGATTTGCAGCCCAGAACAAAACCGGTCAACCGAGCAAGTCATCTTGACAAAGAGGAGATGTACGATGAAATACAACGACTGAAGGAGCTTATAGCAGCTTTTACTAAGGAGAAAGGACTCAGACAGACTCGAATTACAAAACTTGAAAAAGAATTAGGAAAAAAGGTTCGTGGCTTTCGTATATTATAAACAACTTCTGCCAGCTTTCTGATATAAGTGTAAAGTAATAGATTACAAGTTGAGAAAAGTTTAAACTAACAGCCCATTTGCGCACTTAGTACTGATAACACCTGTTTGAAGGATAAGCTGCTGGAGCAAACGTACAGTCAGACACAGAGCACATACGGGCCAGTTAGTGAGCGGAGTTACGGTTCTACCAGCATTGAGACTAATTCGGTGAGTTCTTTACAATATTATAATTGATCTAAAATATACATATTACACTGCACTTCAATCCGTCCTCAGTTGGAAAAAAGAAGTAACCTCTCTCCCCGTTCTCATAACTCTACTCTGGATTCAAACCTCCAAGGCATACACCACTCAAGTCATCTCATTTCATGCACTCTCTATCCCATCTCGATCATCAAGCTTTGTCTATAATCCAGCCCGCTATCTATTTGGCTGTAAATTTCTTAAGGAAAGGATAAGGGCGATTGCAGCTTTGCAGGGTGAAAGTTTGATGGATTTAAAGAGAGGGCCCGGAAGGGCAGCAAGTATCTCAGATTCAGGGTTGGAATAAGGGACCATCTCTCCATGCCCTTCGGCAATCTTTCCCTAACTTACGTTGAACCTTCACTCCATCCTCTCCTTCCCCTCTTGGTTCTCCTGCCCCCCTCCCCCCGCTTAGTCTTGGCTCTTTCTCTCTAACCTACGTTCCCTCCCCGAATGCTGGCCTTCCCTCTATCTCCAAAAACCTCTCTGGCCTTCCGTCCTCTTCACCCTCTCAGGCACTTATTCTTGAACCTCTCTCACTTTGCAGTCTATGGTCCTGCCTTTCCCCACTTGCTAGTCTTACATGCCCATTGCCAAACGCCCGGAGGTAACTCCATCCTGAGTACCTCCCCGGCTCCTGAACCTCTCTCCCCCCTGAGCTGCATGACCTACCCCATTCCCAACCTAGCATCCCTCTTTCCCCTGAAGCCTGACACTACCTCTCTGCCCCCTGGCCTTCTTTCCCCCCCCCCCCCCCCCCTTTGGCTTCGACCCTCCCCCGTCATTCCTGGTCCTCCACCCCCTTTCCTCAACCTCGATTCCTTACATTCCATTGCTCTAAAATGCCCTTCCTTTCCCTCCCATTTTGATAAGAAGATAAGTGAAACACAACCTTTTAATTCTTTAAAAAGAATACATTATTCATTGAAGCAAAATGAAAAACAAAATGATAAGCAAAATAAAAAGAAAAGTGAAAAGTGTAAAGCAAAATCAAATAATAAAAGCAAATCGTAGTCTTCTTTCTTCATTTCCTCGTTCTTCGCTGACCTGAAATAGAGTTAGTGCCTCCCATTCCCATAATGTTGTATTTACCTATAGATATGATTAAAGGGAAATTAATGTAGTGTTTGAGAAAATTCTTATTTATTCAATAGTAACCTAGGTAGAAAAATGTAGGCTCTGAGCATTCCCAAGCGACGAGCATGGCAAGTGGGGACTCCTGATCCCCTTCTGACTCCATTGGTGGCAAGTCTTCCTCCATTGACAAAACCTCCAATTCGTCTTCCAAGTCAGTAAAGTACAACTCGTCCAAGTTGTTCAAAGGGGTTAGTTTCATGGTCTGAAAATAAGGTGTTGAAGGTGTTGAAGTAACCTTAACATCTGGTTCAATGGGGATGCAAATATCGGTGAAGTTATCTGGATAATACTTCTCAGGCCGAGGTAGGTGAATGCATCCTAGGGCAGAGTAGAACTTCAGGAACCAGGAAGTATTGTAGTGTTCCAGATCCGGATCAAACACGTATACTCTGTCTCGATTCCGCTTCCTGCGGAAGAAAGACGTAAACTTTGAAGAAAATGATTTGGCAAGTTGCATCGTAAGCGAAATCACGGTGGAATTCTAACTGATAACAAACTGTAACAAACTGAAAAGAGTGATGTTGTCATGTGCACCATTTTTAAAGGGTGCTCCTTTATCAAATCCTCATTTGAGGAGAGTGAGATTTCCACACGTGCCAAAATTGTGAAAGTGGGACAAAAGTGCGCGGCGCCTAATATAAATGAATTTGCGTAGCGCGCGGTGACTCTTTCTAATGAAAATATTTTAAAGTCAACTGCCAGTGTGGTAAAATTTTACGATTTAAAAGTTTATTTACTAAAATCATTACTTTTTTCGAATAACTGATTTTATTCTTCATATTAGATTTCATAAATAGTGAAAGCCCTAGAGTATGCGCGCTGTAATCTGGCTATACAAATTCGATAGATGCTATGATGGAGTAAATTTCCAAAATAAAGTTATGGTTCGTGGTCCCTGCTATACTAATAGCTGACCTATCATTTTATTATAAATCTGACACCTCCGTGGTTATTGCTCCTTTTGCTTTATGGTTATATCAATTTCTGATTACTCTTAACTCATCTACAATAAAATGTACGCGGAACCAGACAGTAGACACACATTATTCTGCGTAGTTGGAGTTATAAAAGAATTTATTTCAGACAATAACGGGGTTACGACAGAAGTGTCACAAGTACGAGTGTCTTTTGAGAGATAAGGAAAATGAGATCAAGTAAGTGTAACCTGTACTCTTTAGCTGCATACTCTTACGGAGAAAACCTCACAATTACTGTGTAAACACTTAACACAGATGTTTTCTAATCGGTAATGGTGAAGCAGGTAGTGAATGTACGTGACCATTTATGGGGTCGTTCACATATTACGTAATCAGCCGAGGGGGGAGGGGGGGTTTCCGAATGCTTATGGTTGATTACGGGGGGGGGGGGGGGGGGGTTTCGGTCGTTGATTACGTAATCAAAATTTTCTTTTACCCTCTAGAATAATAACAATTTGATATTTTAATTCAAATTCCACTCAATTTCACTCTGATAGTAATAAAATTTAGAAATTGATCGAATATCCGGCTATAATAGTAAGTAGTTTAGAAGGTGCTTGGCCGGATATCATAACAATGATTTCGGCTCATCATGATCAGGGTAGCATGAAAAGTAGAGAAAAGTGTTTTCTAGGAAAAAAGTCAAGGGGGGGGGGGGGGGGGGGGGGGGGGGGGGGGGTCAGGCCATGATTACGTAATATTGCTGTCAGGAGGGGGGGGTTGGGTCTTGATTACGGTTGATTACGGAAGGGGGGTGGGGGGGTAAAAATTGCTAAAATATTGATTACGTAATATGTGAACGACCCCTATCATGTGCTTTAAAATTATTTCTTGCTTTTTGAAAATCCGTCCAACGGGCAACGTTGTTCAAAGTTGGTGAACATGTTGCAAATATCAGGTGTAAGCCTAGTCATTGGTTATGGTTTCCTTGAAGCTGATATTATATTATGAGCAATTGTGCATGCATAATGATATTTTTGTATTTGTGAGGTTTCGTTATATAATTACTATGCAATTTTATTGTTAAATCTTATAGCTTTCATCAGATTATTTATACTTTTGTTAATCTGTTAACTTCATAAAATATGGAGGCAGTGATTTAATTCTCATAAATAAACAATCACAGGACGATGAAGAGTGACCTGAAAAGCACGAGACTGCAGGAACTGGAGATTATGTGTGACACTTACTACCAGGAAATAACCAGACTGACTATGGTAATGGAGCAGAGACCTGATCAAGGATCACGTGTCGTCACACCACGTGCTTCTACACCACGTGCTTCCACTCCCGTTCACGGGTCAGAGCGGGAGAAGATCCTGGAGGCAAAACTTCAGAAGTTGGAGTTCGACAATTCTACACTGAAGAAGCAAATAATGAAGACTACGACTCAAACTATTGGGGATAGTACAGGTAAGCAACATTCATTCAAATTTTAAATTTGGCATGAGTCATGATATTTTCAATAAACTTGTATACAGAAACCTGAAATTCTTGATTGCTTTTAATCATTGTTTCCTAAGTCGCGTCTTCCTTTTAGGGTTGATATCGGAGTATGCTAGCCTGTCGAGAACAGACCTGGAAGAACAGCATCAACAAAACTCGAAAGAACTGTTCGACGCTAAACTTACGATAGGAGAGCTGAAAACGAGTAGTGCTGTTGCAGAGGAAACGATAAAGCAGTTCAAATCACAACAAACTAAAAATAGCGAGAATCTCGAGAAGTTGGTTGATGATAGAGGCGCACTCGAGCGCAAACTTGCTTCTGTAGAGTGAGTCTATCAACATGTTAACTTTATATGTTTTAATTTTATGAAGACTTCACCCCTATTTTTCAATATTTCTTCGGAGGATTTTCAAATTCTAATTTGATAACTCAAGCTAATTTTATTTATTACAGTGGAGAGCATCAAGCACAGAAACTTGTTATCAGAAGACTGAACAAAACTGTTAGACAACATGAGGACGAAGTTGAGAAGTTGAAGAAGCAGGGTGATAGAGAACAAGTTAGTTTCGTCTCGATTCTCGAACATTTTTCAAATTACTTGAATTTTTACTGAATTTTAATTTCATGCATCTTATACAAAAATAGCCTCAATCCTCATGTTTTTATTATAATGATAATGATATTTGACTCTTCGCAAATTTTATGGGAAATTAAGTCCACATTCATGACCGCTTAATTCATTCTCAATTCTTACATCATCAGGCAAATTTGAAAGTGAGGCTGACGGACAAGACTAAAATTATTACGAAACTAGAAAAAGAAATCGAAGGCCTGAAAGAACAGATCGCTGAATTTGAGATAAAAGAGACGAAGAGCGAACACAAAGATGTTGCATCGGCTCGTCCCAAGAAAATGTCTCAACCTGTTGACAAAGAATCAATTCCTAAGACAAACAAAAAACCGGTAAAGAAGGAAATTCAAGAGAAGAAGATAGAAATGAAATCAGAGCATGAAAATGAAAATAAAAAGACAGATTCTGAAGCAGAGAGGGAAACTAAAAGAAAGAACTTTAAGATTTCTGAAGAAGAGCAGAGAAAGGTAAGAACTTTCTTACTTTATTAGCTTCAGTTTCAAGTTGAATATACATCCTATAAGATTAATCGTTGATTCGTTAAACCACGTACAAAGCGATTTAACGACCATTACTTTAAAGGAGCGGGAAGAAGCAGCAGCAAGGAAGATACAGAAGAACTATCGTAACCACAGTCTAGCTAATTCTGTATCTCTACTTCAACGAGTGCTGAGAGGCCACGCTTTACGGTGCAAAGTGGCTAAAGAAGAACACAACCAAAGTGCTGAGATTATTCAGAGTACACTAAAAGGATTCGCAGTCAAGTCCCAGCATGTGGAGAGGTATGCTTGTAGATTCATCAGCTATTTCAAATTAATTGAAACTGACAACTGTGTCTATACGTGTCCTGCCTACCCTATACCACATTTTAAACTCTCTCCTCTCCCTTCTAATTACTGAACCACCCTGGTAGTCTATGGCCCCACCTCTCCATGCTTCCTAGTCTTCCATCCTATCCCGGTCCCTCCCGTTCACTTCCTTAACCCTGGCCTTCTAACCTCCTGACCATCTCTAGTACTTATTCCTGAACCTCTCTCCCCGCCTCTCCCTACTTCTAAGGCTCACGTGCCTCTAGCCAGGAGGTAACTCCATCCTGAGTACCTCCCCAGCTCCTGGACCTCTCTCCCCCTGCATGACCTACCCCATTCCCAACCTAGCATCCCTCTTTCCCCTGAAACTACCCACTCCCCCTATCGACCTTCCATCATTCCTGGTCCTCTAACCTTCTTTCCTCGATCTTGGTTCCTTACATTCCATTGATCCAATATACCCTTCCTTTCCCTCCCATTTTATAAGAAGATCAGTGAAACACAACAAAAATGATAAGCAAAATAAGCAAAATAAAAGGAAAAGTGAAAAAAGTGCAAAGCAAAATCAAATAATAAAAGCAATTCGTAGTCTTCTTTCTTCATTTCCTCGTTCGTCGCTGACCTGAAATAGAGTTAGTGCCTCCCATTCCCATAATGTTATATTTACCTATAGCTATGATTGAAAGCGAAATTAATGAAGTGTTTGAGAAAATTCTTGTTTATTCAGTAGTAACCTAGGTAGAAAAATTTAGGCTCTGAGCATTCCCAAGCGACGAGCATGGCAAGTGGGGACTCCTGATCCCCCTCTGACTCCACTGGTGGCAAGTCTTCCTCCATTGACATAACCTCCAATTCGTCTTCCAAGTCAGTAAAGTCCAACTCGTCCAAGTTGTTCAAAGGGGTTGGTTTCATGGTCTGAAAATAAGGTGTTGAAGTAACCTTAACATCTGGTTCAATGGTGATGCAAATATCGGTGAAGTTATCTGGATAATACTTCTCAGGCCGAGGTAGATGAATGCATCCCAGGGCAGAGTAGAACTTCAGGAACCAGGAAGTATTGTAGTGTTCCAGATCCGGATCAAACACGTATACTCTGTCTCGATTCCGCTTCCTGCGGAAGAAAGACGTAAACTTTGAAGAAAATGATTTGGCAAGTTGCATCGTAAGCGAAATCACGGTGGAATTCTAACTGATAACAAACTGTAACAAATGAAAAGGGTGATGTTGCCATGTGCACCGTATTTAAAGGGTGCTCCTTTATCAAATCCTCATTTGAAGAGTGAGATTTCCACACGTGCCAAAATTGTGACTCGCTTTTCCTCCATTAATATGCACCCCTCTCCTTTCTTTGTCCATCCTTTCCCTTAAACTCTCTCCATCCCTCCGTCTCTCTAGCTCTCCTCTCCCTCTCTCCCGAAAGAAACTGAATGTCCCAGAATCTAGTTTTTCCAACACAGTTGTCTCTACGTAATATAATGGGTGTTTCGAATATTTCCGGTCTTGGGTATTTTCTCTTGACTATAGTCTATATCAGTAATTTGAGTTGCTTTTAGATTCTTTCATCATAATTTCATGTTTTACATTAGCGAATAGCCACACTTGTCACTTATATTGCGCTTCCTCATCTTATTCTATTCGCAGTTTGAGAAAGGAAAGTGAAGGTATTAAAGTTACGGCAGAAACTCAAAAAGTTCAGCACTCAGCTCCAGGTAGTTTGCGCGGAAACGAACGTTACAAATCGTGCTATTTGATTACTCAAGAATTAGGTCGTGAATTGATCATTATTTATCCGTTCTGCACCTTGTAATAGCTGAACTTGACGTTGCTGGGCAGTGAGTAAACACAGCCGAACATGACGTGACGAGAGATGCGTCACATGGTAATCCAGTCTGGAGCGCGCAAACGCGCGCAGCATTACAAACTGCTCACCTCAGGTCTAGCGATACTCTGAATTTTCGCGATTTTAACTAGCAATAGGCCCCAACAACGCCGGGCTATATTTAGTCGTGACGTAATAATGACCCTCTGTGATCGATGTGGCAGGCAAATGGAGAGGGCTCCGTGATATCAAATTATGGATTAGATAATGATGTACATGTAACTGAATTCATTTGATTACCACACCCGATTTCAGCGAGGACGAAGAACTTTCCGGAAAGAAAGAATCAGAAGTCTGTGGTTTCGGTAAGCGGAGTTCGCTTTTGTCTCTTTGTTTGGAGTACGTAATGTCTTATTCTAGTTGCATTCAATTCCTCAATTTCCTATTATCACAATCAAAATATACAAGTTCTAACATCAAACCCTCAGAGAACCGTTCCTATCGCGAAGAAACCTGACGCTGGAAGAAATACTAAAAAGGACGAAACCCCACTCAAAGCGTCAGCCAAAAGAGCAGAACCAAAACCCATTGCTAAGAGTTCTACCGCTGTTTCAAACAGAAAAGTGCCAGTTGACCAGTCGGAGACCAGTAGTGACGAAGATGACTTAATAATGATGTGAATTGAAACATTTTATTTGATAATTAGTGATCTAAGTGTTGACGGAAAATGTAACTTATCACAAAAACTTGATATTTCAGAGATGGCAGTTGAACAGATGTATTATACGTGTATATGACTAGATTTTGTATATAACATCACCAATTTTTATCATAATTTAATATTCATCCATGTAATGTTGTGCTTTTAGTTTTAAAACCGCTGCTGTGTATATAGTGTGTATTTATATAATATCATCAATTAAGAAAGTGTTCTTAATAAACAAACTCAGACGCGTATTTTTATTTGTTCACTTAAAATGCAACTCTCTCAGAATAAACATTTAACGCCTGAGCTAATCGCTTTTAGCACAAGCCCACGATTATGCGTGATGTTAAATATTCCAGTTGATGTAATGCAAATTATATTAAAATACTTGACATCATCTCTCTTAAATAATATCAGATTATTCCAGACTAAATAACGAGACACATACCTCTAATAACTGCGAGTCTCGAAGATTGCCCAGCCCATTTAACACCGTTGTAACCCAGACAAGGAAAAGCCCAGTCAAACGTCTCGACAGTGGGCGCTCAATTTTGCAAACATTTTCCTGCTCGTGACGTCACAAGTTGAGATGTGAACGTTACACTCTCATTTACACACTGGGCCACCACGCCCGATGCAGTGTGTGTATTTATATAACACGGTGTGAGCTATTTTTAGAACTTGTTAGCCTGATTTCTGACGTTGAGTATTGAGTTTGCGTGTAGGCCTGGAATGTACAGTGTAATGAGATAATTATTATAACTGGATTGTGTAATTACGGCACTGAATGTGGAGTAATACGAGAATGCCCATATCACGCATATTTAGCCTCTTAAATCTTGATAAGACCGTCAACAAAAGAAACAAAAGATTTCAATATCTGATGAGACTAAAATGTACACGTGTATCTTGCTCCCTAACGACCTAACCCTCGTTTCACGTACGTGGTACGGTTTAGGCCTGGTATGAAACGTTTACATAACAATACCTCCCAGTTATCTGTACAGAATGTAACATTTAGCTGATCACTAGTATAGTGGCATGTATCTACAGTGGAATGTATCTCTGAGCTGGAATGTTTCTAGAGTGGTATGCAGTACACTGCCGCTGCACTGGAAGTGAGGAGCTCTCAACCTGCCCTGACATGATCCACAATTAGTACAAATATTAGTATGCAACATTCTAGAGCTTAGTACACCACTTTTTTACATGTAATAAATCATTACAATATCTCAGCGATCTTCTCTTAAAGCGTGAGCACGTGAAAAATACTGATATTGAGATCACAAGTTAAGCAATCTCGTGATTGAAGAGATCAAGGAAGCTTTAATGTCACGTGTCACGAGGGGGCCATTTCACACCACTTAGTTTTAAAGTCAGTGGTAAAAGTCAACAGTTACATCACATGAAGACAGCGGCGGATGTTGTCGTGTATGACAAGGTGTGTTTTAAAGTGACGTATCACTCTCTCGTGATATGACGGAAGTTACCGTTTGTAATGTGATACTTCAATTCTATCTTCTTTTACCAACACCTCTAATTCAGAGTCCTAAAAACCCCCCTTCTTATCATTTGATTGTTTAAAAGTTGAGTAATTTTATATCATATTAATCTCATTTTGCACAAAAAACTGCCCAGAGCAGGATAAATTTAGCTCATCTTTATACCGAATCTAAGCTAGCACTGTAGGCTAGGATGAGGTATATATATAGATGTGATGTGCACAGTGCACTATATATAACAGTGCAGTATGACCTGTATATAACTACCCGTTTCCTGTCAGGTACCAGATACACAGAGAGAGAGAAAGAGCTATAATTACACACACTTGCAGCTAACTTGTATCTGCAGCCGTCTGCTATACACAGGTGTAGGGTATTGTGTGTAAGTGTAGGGTATCGTGTGTAAGTGTAGGGTATTGTGTGTAAGTGTAGGGTATTGTGTGTACTTGTGTAGGGATTTGTGAGTAAGTGTAGGGGTGTTGTGTGTAAGTGTAGGGGTGTTGTGTGTAAGTGTAGGGATTTGTGTGTAAGTGTAGGGGTGTTGTGTGTAAGTGTAGGGATTTGTGTGTAAGTGTGTAGGAATGGCCTGGCTGGAAGGTATGTGACTAGTGACTCACGTGGAGAGAATAAGAGGTAAATTTAATAGTGGATATCACAGAAAGGAAATATGAGGAGGGGCAGGGAATTAGAAGTGGTCTGGTATGACGGGGAGAATGGAAAATATGTCATTGGTCGGTTCCTTTGTGTACATATAACGCGGGCTATCAGTGCCTTTACATCATCACACTCAGGGATAATGTAGCCCCGGCCACACAATATGACGCCATAATGAAAAGTGTTCATTACGTAGTTGAGCACTAATCACGGAAGTTGGTATGTACGAGGTACTGTGTCTGCAGAAGTGTTGTCTAGCACCGGATTATCCAGTGTGTAAGCATTGTAAAACTGGAACCATGCCAAGTAACGAGCGAGCCAGCTCACTGAAACCTTGTCTTAACTTTGGGTTATCATTATTGGTCATTTTCAGAAGATGTAGAACTTCAGAAGCCAAAATGTTTGGTAAGTTTAGTCACAAGTCGATGAACAAGATGTTTGTTTACCCCTTATGTAGGGGGGAGTCAGATGATTTAATTTCTCAATTGGTCACGTGACAGTCAAGTCATTACATTAACAGTAAGCTCTCCCTCTCAGCAAGGCCGAGAATTCCCAGTACCCCAACACTCTGCTCTTCAAAGGACAAATTCCAATTTTCAGAAACCTAATCGTGGTCTAAACTCTAAACAGAATTTGTTATCAAAGAACTTTCAGTCCGAACTAACTTTTACTTCATTCCATCCCTATTCTGTATAGTATTACTTGAGAGATAAAACTTGACAAGATAATTCCGTGGAAATTTAACCCGCACATCCTGATATAGCCGAACCGTAATTGGATTGCGTAATTTTCAACCTCTTGAGTTCTATAAGAATGTTTTTGAACACCATGCACTCTGATCTACAGGAAAGTAACTAAGTTTCCGTCTTGACACCCGGCCAACACCATCATAAGGCACTGCATACAGAAACAAGCTTTCAACGTGTTATACGGCAGAACATGCGAGTAGTTCTAGATACCGCAGGTTAAAGTTAAACTTTAACAAATCGCCATATTAAGATAACTTATTTGCAGGAACTTCCCGGATCATTTATATCGGAGTTTGGATTGAGGAAGAGATTATATTGGGGAATATCCGTCAACATTATTTTATGTTTTTTTTTCCACACATATCTGTGATCTCAAAAGAATAACTTTTGTAAGGAGTACAATTAAAAATACGAACTTTATTTTAACGAATATTTTTACCATCTGAACAGAAAAATAAAGATAACAATAAAATCTAGCTTTTAAACCTTCTCTTTTAAGGTTAGGCAAGTTTCAAATCACAGCGATATCGTATATATGCGAAATTTGGTTTATTTTTACTGGTAATATCCTTTTATAGATTAATAGGTTCTTTAGTTTAAGTCATGTAATGATGCAGATGGTCAACAATGTTAAATGTAAACATAATACTTCTTCAAACTTCATACATAGTTCATACACAATCTAAATTCCTAGGAATACATTCATCTCTTTGCCAGTTCGTTATTGTATTTGTAAGAATAATTTACCACTTTTAACCCTATCGAAATTAAGTAAAAATATCGGGTTGGAGTGATGTATAATCATGGAACATCCTTTTCCCTCAAACACGTCGACAATATTTGTTTGCCTGTAGACGAACCAAAAGCTATTTAGAAAGATCGTTTATTGCAAAAATTAAAAAGTGAAAATTGAGATACACATTGATATTTTCAGATCTTTAAGAGGATCGGAAAGCTTTTGGTTGGGCTTATGGCGCTGTTAAACCAGGAAAATAATTAGATTTGATGTTTTATATTTTAACGTTTCAGACAGACTTGTAATTCTACCGTTTAACCCGAATACCATTTCGATCTTAAGTGGCGCACTGCCCGGTCTCTTAATTAATCTACGTCATAATACTACATTTTTATAGCCTACTGGTGACGAAAAGACAATAGACATAAATACAACTCTACCTCATATTTGGTCGCATCCCTTTAATTTGTAAGCCCCGGAGAATGTTGGGGCCTCCCCGGCCCCAGTCGATCTTTGTTCGTGTGGGGTCTCCAAATTTTCATGTTAAACAATCACCGTGTTTGCGATAAACTTATAGCAAAGATCGAACGAGTTTGAAAACTCGATACATAACCATGCAAATATTGTTTTAAGTAATAATGAGAATCACTTACTTATATTCGTAAATCTACTGTATTTCAAATCAGTACAAAATAACAATGATGATTTGATCCGTGGCTCACGTAATAATAAGAAAATTGAAGTGGACGCATCGGATAAAAGATGGTACAAGTACAGACTGGGTGTGGTCTCCAAATTCTGCTCATCAGCATTAGGAAATTGGGTAAATCTTAAATCCAACCCACAACTGACACTCGCAAACAAACGACAGTAGTTTAAACGGAGTATGACTCGACTGTACAGTCCGATGTACGCACTGATAGAATAGTCTAGAGTCCGCGTGCGAACGGTAAATCTCCAATCTCTGAGTGAGCCCAATTCAGTTCATATAACTACCCTTTATATTGTTTGTTAGTTTGGGAACACAGTTGGGGGAGCACGGCGCGGTTAGATCTTGCGGATTTTGGCTCCCACCACTTGAGGGTTCTCTTTCTCGAGCTTGGCGCGGCCGTCGCTTTTGTAGTCGAAGGAACACTGGTGCTGGTCCGAGTAGCGGTGCAGTCCGCAGAATAGGTTCTCGCATCTGCACTTGAAACCTGAACAGTGAACGTGTTATACTCTGAGTGGGTTTAAAGTTAATTGACAGGTGAAGTGCTAATTAAGCTTGTTAAGATATTGTTAAATGAGGAATACACGTCTAATATAACACTTGAAACAACACCGACTTAAAGCAAGATCAGAGAACACTTATTATGTATTGTCTCTTGAATAATGAGATACAGAAGTACATTGTACACAACTTATTAGTAATTTCACTGGACAAAGAAAATAAATGATGTCTTGTGATCGGATCAATTAATTTTGCCGATGCTGTCATTCTTCGCTTCCCACCGCTTACACACAGCAGTTAATAACAGAACTGAAGCCGTTTATGGAAGTGTAATAGTGCAGAGCGGTGAGTGTACTACTCATAATGGCATGTAGTTATAAAGGAGAATACCGGGAGAGTGTTGCGTACTGTGTACAACATGTTTTAACACACAACCTCGCACTGTTTCTAAATTAAGACTCTCCCAGTTTTGTTTGATTTATTTGTAACTTTCAGCATTCACCACTGTGAAAATCTAATTTGTTCCTTTACATTAGATCAATGTCGGAGTGCCGCCGCTAAAAGGAACAACACAATAGCACTTTTATAAAACAGCAGGTCTATTTTTAACACACACCGCGTGTTTTACAGCCGGACACACACACAACTCCTCCTGGGCACGAACAAGTCATCTTAAAACCGAACCCTGAGGCTCTAAATACCACAGAGTAATTAATTAACGTGTAAGAATGACCTGCTCTCCGCTGTCCTGTCTAATAAGTCTGGAGCTTCCTTACTGAACCTATTTGTATCCGTTACATCACACACTGACCAACACTTTTACCTATTACCACTTACTGAGACAAATACACACATTATATACTCGCTAATAACATAACAGAGATACACGCACACACACGCACACACACACACACGCACACACACGCACAGAGACTACATTAGAGCGTTATGGTAAGTTCGTTAGTGATCACAACATGCTGGTGTCGTATGATATGCACGGTTACGAGTGACTACTCTCTCTCTCTCAGCTGTACACACCGTGTGTAATGTGTACAGTAATTACAGCATGCTTTGTGTCTCTTTTGCCAATTCCACTATACACTTACTTCTACCTGCATAATTTATGCGCATTTTGGCCTGTTATATTTACAAAGTGTTTTGTCGGATAGAAGACAGGTTGCCATGGCCCGCAGATAAATTATCAGCTAGCTAATCAGTGAGTGTAACGAGTGTAGAATGTGAAGGGTGGTGATTGTGGGTGTTTGAAACGCTACACCACTAACCACCGCACTGTCAACAACAGGGCCTCTCTTTAAACGGAGGTCACAAAAACATTGCGGTCTCTCTCTCGATCATGTGATAAGTTCTTGTCACTATTGTTCAGATCCTTCAGCACCACCTATCTCTGTGTCAGTAGCAAATTATCTCACTTATCCCAAATATGGTCTTAATTAGATCTCACTTTTGTATCGGATCTGTGCTTGGAGTCTCATAATATGACACGATAGTACACGTTTTATGAGAGGTCGCCACATAGCTCTCTAACATTTACCTTTACGTGTCTCTTTTCATGATAGAATTTCGATGTAAATGTCATGCTTCAGTCTCAAGAGGTATTTAAATGTATTTCCATGAGCTACTGCTGATTGAAGCTAAAGTATGAGTAAAAGGCGGGGCACTAAAACACGGCATTTTACAGAAAAATCATCGCTAGCTAAAGCACAACTTCCGGACCTACGTACTTTACAAATAAATACAGAATCAGAGTGCTGTATTTGAAAGAAAGTTTTAAAACTGACCAGTAAGTCCCACTTTCTTGTTGCAGGTAAAGCATCTGTTTCGACCCTTGGAAGGGGATTTGCCCTTGTCTTCGGGGGGCGTGACGGAGAGTTGAGAGCTCGGTGAACTGGCTAATTCCTCAACTACGTTGTTCATCACTGGTATTGGTATATCGTCTGTAATAATAAACATTGTTAGATTTAAAATAGCTTCGGCATTATTGTCAGGTTAGATTTTATTTTAAAACTTAAAAACAGTCGCATCGGGTAATTTTGGTAATTTGAGACAATTTCAGATGTGAGTAATTAAGGAATTTCTTACTCTTTAAAGGAGCGTTTGAGGGTTCTGAAGTGGTTGAAATTGCGGTTGAAACTGGAGTTACTACTGAGGGTCCGGAATTATGTTGGTCATTTTGTTGGGCGGCTTTCTTCTTAAGATTGTCTTTGAAGCATTTCGAGCACATTCCATCGAAACTAGCATTTCCAAAGAAGCCGCATCCCTGAAGATATATATCTGTTATAATCACAGTATCTTGTTATGTAGTAATGAAGGTGTATATTGAGATTAAGGCTAAAAATTGCCCAAAAAACTTCGTTAAAATATTCAAGATAGGGTTTATTATATATAACTAAAGGTTTTGTTCTAAATTTAGTATTCTGTTATTCAGGGTTAAATAAGCAACTAACCTGAGTGCACAGTGAGCTATCCAGCCTGTCCATTGGTGTGGCTGCGCTGCAGCAACCGACACCTTACTTACTGTAGTTAAATAGAAACATGAGCTATTAAATAAATAATATAAATAAAGTCAAATATGAAGAATATAAAACAGTTTGAAAGCAAGCACAATAATGTAAATAACACAATTTAAATATACAGGATTACATTTTAAATTATTTTATTAAATTATAATATGATCATGGAAAACTGTTTCTGTGAACTTGCAAGATGTTGCAAGATCCAATTGATACAAAACTTGACCTGTAGCCACCTGGATCAAATACAACACCTATAAAATACCAAGAACTCCCTTGTATATATAGATGAAGAATTCATCAGACACATTTAAGATTTGTAGACATTAGTCTGTGGAAAAACTTAGACAAGTCGAATTCTAGTTCTAGTAGGAATAATTTTTCCAGAGATAAAATGGCAAAAGTCAAGATAGTGACAATGATCTGGAAGACAGTCAGAAGTCTACCAGCTGTTGTCCACAATGAAGCTGCTATCAAGGTGATCCAAGAATATTTTGCGGTATTTGTTTAGATACCCTTGCAGTTACATCAAGTGGTGAAATAAAGTACAGAATTATATCAGTGCACTGCCAAAGTAAGTAAGCTATGTTGTGCACAGTGGTGTAACTTTGATAACCTGCTGACTAGGTTATTATTCTCATCGATATTTTAATAATATCAAGGTTCTTCCTAGTAAACTAATGAACTTGCAGTGACAGCTCAGAGACGATTCAAGTCAAACTAGTCAAACAAAAAAGGCTTAATTCCAAATGCAGCATGTAAATAAAATATTGCCATCTCTGTGACTGGCTCAATTGAATCTTAAATCAGAATCTTGAAGCTGCCTGCCATGGGCTGGGAAGAAAATTTTAAGATGTGCAGCTTAAGGCTCAACAGGGGCCTTGAGGGCCTACATCCAGTGAACAGATAATTGTGATAGAAGACTGAATATTGTTAGTTAATGTTAGAATAATAATAATAAATACTTAAGAGCAACATTCAGTCAGATCTTTCCCTATAAATAAAAACTGATGGTAAAATTTAGCTGGATTTTCTGCCTATATCACTCGTCATAATTTCAATTACGGAGACAGCAGAGATCAAAAATATTTCGTTTGACACTTACATACATCATGCACATTCAATGAGAATAAAATATAGTATAGTATAGTAATCTGTTTATAGTACACTACAATGTAGATGTACTGAAGGGGTACCCCAAGAAGATTATTGATCTGTTGGCAGGGTCCCTGCTCATTAAAACACGATATTCCGATCATTCGGCTGAGTCAATCAACACACACATTCGAACCCTGGACTGAGTGGACCTTGAATTCTGTGCAGAAGGCCGACACTTTTCAAAATGGTATGCTCAGTGTATTGGTTGCAAGAATGATGGAGGAAAATATCGGACAAGCTATCACATAGAGAAGATCAAAAATGGTTCGTGTCTCGAAGAAAGTGTCCATTATAACAGTTCAAAATGATCACAGACTGCACTATAATATTGTATAGTACTATGTTTACAGTACACTACAATGTAAATGTACTGAAGCAGTATTATAAAAGATTCTTGATGGCTGAGTCATAAAAAGACAAACAAGAATTTAAGAAAAGCACAAATTGGACCATTAGCCGTCCCAATTTATATCTAGATGTGGCTGCATGAATTTCAACATTATAAGCACGAAGAAAACCCACAGCACACAGATAGCTCAATTAAATAGGAGAAATATTAATGACTTAAAATTTATCAATTCTGCCAACATTTAGTTCAACGCAGAAAGTTAAAACGAACTATACTAGATTTAATTGATTAATATAAAAATGTTTTCAAACAACTTATGTATACATTTAATTAAATCAAGTGATGCAATTGGCAGAGCAACATAGACAGATAACGGGAATTGTCCACTGCTACTAATATTATATATGAAGCATTAACAATCAAATATATACACATCTACTCCATGAAAGGGGCAGGGATGAGGTTGTAAGAAACTTCTGATAATATTTTTGTCCATTTTCTTGGCATTCGCGTTATTGTGTATTGATTAATAAAATAACTGTGAAATTTAACCGTGGAAATTTAAATCAAACTTAGACCACAACTTTCTTGTCATACGTTGTATGACCCGCCGCGCACGAGTGCGCGGCTCCCCCTGTATCGTGGAAACTCTACTCTTTCACCATAGTGAAACGACCGTGGGGGTTACGATCGTGGTGACCCCCACGGTCGCTTCACTATATAGTGTATACAGTATAGAGTTTCGACGATACAGGGGGAGCCGCGCACTCGTGCGCGGCGGGTCATACAACGTATGACAAGCTGCCACTCCAATCCATATGCGCTCTTTTTCAGCTATTTTGTTTTTGCACTAAGCGATCGAGAAAAGCAAACAAAAGAAGCTGAAGATGATGATTATTTACTCTACACTCGACTGTCAAGTGACTTTTTCAACCCGTTCTCTAGCTGGTCCTGAACGACTATTTGAAACCCTGACCCTCTAATTTGATTCCAACCCTAACCCGGCCATATAACCCAATTTTTAACAAAGACACACGCTGAAACCCTAAACCTAACCAGAATTATAAAACTAAGTTCCTTATACTATATCATATATATTACGTGATCGAGTAATATTACGTGATCGAGACAGTTTTTTGCAAATGCACAATTGACAATATCTCGTCAGGGGAGCATTTTAATACTTTGTTTTACTTGGGGACCCCCCGACCACAGGCTATTATGTTTCATAACAGCTCGCGATTTGGTGATTGTTGCGTCGGGTGCGATTATAAATTTTAATTTATCTGTTTATATTATTGCTTATACGTTTATTTCTGTAAATGGACCATAATTTTAGTGGTTAGGCGGGCTACTGATCGCTATACTATTATAGCTTAGCTTTACTGGGCCGCGCTCAGCCTGTCATTCCGCCGGCTTTTACTAATTCGCTTGACGGATGTTACTCGTCTAAATTTCTTTGAAGTAGCGCGCGCCGGGCCAGACCATTAATAGGAGGTGCACGATAAAAATAAACTTGCTCGGATTTTAAAAATTTTTGTACCAGTGTTTTCTAGAGACTGTGAGAATTTTCACAATACCAAATTTGTCATACCTTTTTGGAAAGATCAGTGAATTTCGCCTAAGTGCCATATTTGATGGTGCGCGGCTTTTGGAGCAAAAGTAGCTGTAAAAGTCGCGTAATTTGACCAAATTCGTCCAAATTTGACCATTTTTGTCGTATTATTCGGATTTATCTTCAGTTCCTTAAATGAGATCATTCTGAAAAATTGGCGACGACCTTCCAATAGGGCTTTTACAACTGTCCGAAAAATTTGGTGGATATCGGAGTTGATATAGTGATCAAAATGGGGCAAAATACGCTGCTTTTAGCTGTAACATAATGTCTGTTAATTGGATATGCTTTAAATTTTCGGACACTTTCCTTGTAAGTCTATGAGTAAGCTTACCAATTTTTGTTGCAATTGGAGGTCGGGAAGGATACTCAATATTTATTTGTTTGAAGAAAATTGTGCTGGCCGAAATTAGCGCTAAAAAACCATCCTACAGTCGGCACGCGCGGCTCACTGTCGATGGCGCACTACCTACCATTAACAATGGTCAACTAATTCGCTCGCCCAAAAATTTCACGTGATTTTGGTTTTTATGGTTTTACAGCCGTACAAAACGGTTTTACATAAACCCTAATCCCAACCCTAACCCTAACCATAACCCCGAAGCTATCCATAACCCTTACCACAACCCTTACCACAACCTTACTGGGCCGCGCTCAGCCTGTCATTCCGCCAAATCTTTATTTATTATTTATTTATGTTAATGAACATAATAGCCTGGGGTCCTCAGGTAACCACAACCCTAACCCTAACCCGAGCCCTAAACAATCGAATTCATGTTTTACTAGCCTGTCACGTGACCAAAACGGTTTTTTGCCCATAACTCTCCAGGGAAGCATTTTTACCCTACGTCATGGGGGGTGATCGGAATCAGCGTCCAAAAGTAGAACGATTGAGATCAAATTCATACCCAAAGGGCCGTTTCACAAGAATTTTCTTAAAATTTGGCCGAGCGATTTAGTAGGAGCGCATGACATATGATCTGACGCGACGACTGACATAGCTATTGTGTATTATGTTAAAATTATACTGCACTAGCGTATTCATTTTCAATTTGGAAACCCTTTGTAGCGAAGTGCGCTACTGGGCCTTGCCGAGCTACGAAGAATTGACATCGTCAATTAAGAATCAACCCCAGTACAGCTCCCCCTCGCATTTCTGTTTTTCGCATTTATAAACACTTTATTGTATTTGTATACTAAGTTATTGGGTGAAGACTGAAGTTATCGTGAAGTTATCGTTCATCATACTTGGGCCTTTGATTGTTTTTGACTGATTTGAACCTTGTTAACATTTAAGCTGATTGGGTTTTGTAATAACAGATAACAATAGATTGTTGTTTTCTACTCAGGTTATCACGTGTCACCACCTTCTTAATATTTTAAGTTTAACATTGTGACCCTGTTTACAGCAGCCCTAACAAAATATCGTGGCCTTAACACTTTAAACACATATTGTTTATTGTTGCTCGTCAACTGTGTAATCCTAGGATTAGTTTTCCTCTGTTTAAATTTTGAAACGCACCCTTTCAAATAGTTTCACTATTAGACTTTTATTTTTCCGGCTATTTTAGTTTAAATTAAAATATATACGCGTTTTGCTTTAAAAATTCAACAAGTACGAAGTATGTTCTCGTGATGTAATTGCGAAAGCCGATTAAACGGCACTCTTATCACCTAATTAGAAAATCGTTGCTTTTAATGTGATGAATTTCTTATTTGCAATTTCAATTTGACCATGAAGCTGAATTATTGAAGCTATGTGTATCACTCCCCACTACCTGCTGATCAATCTTCTCCTGGTGACGTCATGTCTTGGCACTAATCAGGTACAATTTAGCATCCCCAGAATTATAAGTTGGTGATTTCTGTCATAGTGAAAAATCCACGCTTATCTTCTTCCAGCTCCATTTGATACTCAAAACATCTCCTGGCGACCAGCGGACAATGTCCGCCGGACACATTTCAGTTTTAACCTTAATTTTATGACTCAAATCATCTCACAACTATGGCAATACTCTATTGCCATAGTTGTTCACCTCAGCCTATCACTTAGTGCTTTCTTGATCTTCCAGTACTAAATATGAATACTTCAGGAACTGAACATAGACTATGTGGTTGTAACCGTAAGTGAGCTTACAAATCTCAAAGGAGAATTGGAACAGATGAAAATGTCACTGTCTCAGGAAATTGAGTTGGTGAAGAAAGAACGTCAGCAGATGAAACATTTATCAAATCTACAATTGGCAATAGTCAGGGGTGATGTTATGAAGAATCGGGCAAAGATTGAAGAAAGCAAGGAAAAGATTAACGTGATTCAAGAAAATGTTGGAGCTAACATGGAAAAGATTGACGTTATCCAAGAAAATGTTGAACATAACAAAGTAAAGATTGACGTTATCCAAGACAATGTTGAAGAAAGCAAGGAAAATATTGACGTTATCCAGGAAAATGTTGAAGAAAGCAAGGGAAATATTACCATTATCCAGGAAAATGTCGAAGAAAGCAAGGAAAAGATTAACGTGATTCAAGAAAATGTTGGAGCTAACATGGAAAAGATTGATGTTATCCAGGAAAATATTAAAGAAAGCAAGGGAAATATTACCATTATCCAGGAAAATATTGAAGAAAGCAAGGAAAAGATTGACGTTATCCAAGACAAAATTGAAGAAAGCAAGGGAAATATTACCATTATCCAGGAAAATGTTGAAGAAAGCAAGGAAAAGATTAACGTTATTCAAGAAAATGTTGGAGCTAACATGGAAAAGATTGACGTTATCCAAGAAAATGTTGAAGATAACAAGGTAAAGATTGACGTTATCCAAGACAATATTGAAGAAAGCAAGGGAAATATTACCATTATCCAGGAAAATGTTGAAGAAAGCAAGAAAAAGATTGACGTTATCCAAGACAATGTTGAAGAAAGCAAGGAAAAGATTGACGTTATCCAAGAAAATGTCGAAGAAAGCAAAAGAAATATAACCGTAATCCAGGAAAATGTTGTAAGTAACAAGGAAAATATTAAAGGTAACAAGGAAGAGATTGAGTCCCAAGCTAATCTGGTCAATATATACGAGAGGATGGTTTACCATGTAGATTGGGAGATGAAAAACATGGTGAAGTTCACAAAACAGCTGCAGGAGGATATACAGTCGATGGAAAGTGGTGGCCTGTTAAAAAGAGACGACTTGCTCGAAGTGGAGATGGAGGTTAAGGGGGTGAAGCTGGAGATCGATCAAATAGAAAGTGATATCAGAGGACTACCAAGGTAAGGATGCAGATTTTCATTACTCTTTCAGAATGCAGAAGTACAGGGTGAAATTATGATTAAAGGGTGGTCCAAAAGTCAGTGCACAAATGTTTTGATAACTCATAACACCTAACAACTTGCAGGTGAGCCGTGAGAATTGAGATACTGTAAATTTTCATTCGAGGATTCGGTCGACAAAATAAAAATTCTTAATTCTAGTCGACACGTTTTCAACGGTTGAAATTCAACCGTCCTTGTAGTTTGTACACATTCTAAGAGCTGATTTTGTTCATCAAAATCAAATCGATCGATGATGTGGACTATGGGTGATACTGTTATAAAACAGTAATCAAACAATTGATTTGACTTCAAGTTCAAGCATCGAACGGAAAATCGTCAAATCATATTAATATTAGTCTCTGAACCATGCTAATTGCAGTACATTTCTGTCCATTTTCAGAGAATTTTCAGTCAAGTCTTTAAAATTGAAAATGATAACAACAAAAAATTTCTTCCACAGTCGTATTACGACTCGTAAAGTATATTAGGTGCTATTGCTGGTTGTAAAGGTTGTTGTCCCTCGCGCCATCATCAATCACGTTACTGGTCACATCGTCCCTTTCACGTGACTTTGTTTATAGTTGACCGCACAGAATATTGTGCATTCTGCCATTTTGTTGCTTATTGACTGTTTAACTATATGTCAGTTTCCATTTGTTTAGACTTCGATTTGTGCCTTTGTGCTTTCAAATGGTTTTCACTTTTCAGGCAGTAATTTTTCGAATAAATATGTCAACGTACTTTAAGGGTTTCAGAAATGATCAACATTTTTTTAATTTATTGACACTTGACAGCCTCTAATCAAAATTGTATTAATTAAGGTATGATTACGACTCCTCGCTTCCTACTAATTTCTATTCTACTGGTGACGTCATCTCTTTGCACTGATGAGGTTAAAAAATTACAAAGTTATACTTTTCCTATCCACGGTTCACTTCTTCCGTTCCATTTAATTTTAAAATCAAGACTTTTCCTGGCGAACAATGAACACTTTTTGGTTTTTATTTTAAGTTTCCTCTTAGTACAATCGAACCACTATATACCGTACCTTTCTGTACCGGGTGCCTCGATATACCGTACCTCTATTTTCCCGCAAACTTTTAGTTAATTCATAATTAGCTCGTTTTGTGCAAGAGATCTTATTTAATACAGCGCATATCGTGGTGCATGTCGAGCTGTATTCCATCACAAGCCCCTAATGAGGTATATGACTATGAGACGCTTGACAGATTATTTGAAAGGCTACAGATAGTGATACTGGGGTCTGGGATTATGAACCTCACTTTACCTGTTTTTTTAAATACTGTACACTTTGCACTTTTCGTTTCCCAAAAAAAGCCCGGTATATAGAGGTTGGACTGTAAAAGCATATTTAATTTGCGATATGAACAAGTCAATGACTTCACGTAGTAGCGTGTACAAGTATGATATTTGAATCTCGACCCAGTCAATTAGTTAATGATTTCTGACGGATTTAATGAATGTTAATCCTTCAGGGACCGGACTCCGCCGAAGTTACTATGGGCGAGCTTAAAAGTCTTAAACTTGAAATGGAGCAGATGAAGTTGTCAATGGCCCATGAAATTAATATGGCGAAGAGGGCAATAGAAGAAAATAAACAGACAAAGTTATCGCTGTCCAATGAAATAGAGTTAGCGGTCAGGAATGAAGAGAAAAAGAAAAAGAAAAAAAAGAAAGTTAAGAAGGTGACACCGACTATACAGACAAACAGCAATGAAGTAATGGAACAAGATGAAATCCTGGAGAGACTCGCTGAAATGGAGTTGTCATTAACTGAACAGTTGGCAATGGTCAGGGATGATATGGAAAAGAAGATAATTGACGTAATTCAAGAATATGTTGAAGATATCCAGGAAAATATTGAAGTCAACAAGGGAAATATTGGAGTCAACAAGGGAAGTATTGAAGTCAACAAGGGAAATATTGAAGTCAACAAGGGAAATATTGAAGTCAACAAAGACGATATTGGAGTCAACAAGGAAAGTATTGAAGTCAACAAGGGAAATATTGAAGTCAACAAGGGAAATATTGAAGTCAACAAATACGATATTGGAGTCAACAAGGAAAGTATTGAAGTCAACAAGGGAAATATTGAAGTCAACAAGGGAAATATTGAAGTCAACAAAGACGATATTGGAGTCAACAAGGAAAGTATTGAAGTCAACAAGGACGATATTGAATTCAACAAAGACGATATTGGAGTCAACACGGAAAGTATTGAAGTCAACAAGGACGATATTGGAGTCAACAAAGACGATATTGGAGTCAACACGGAAAGTATTGAAGTCAACAAGGACGATATTGGAGTCAACAAGGACGATATTGGAGTCAACAAGGCAAATATCGAAGTCAACAAGGGAAGTATTGAACAGGTGATCAGTGATGTAACCTTACATAAGAATGATATGACGTCTATGCAGGAAGACATAGCTTCGATGAACAACAGTGAGGAAGCTCAAACACTGGCGGAAGAGATGAAAGAAACAAACCTTAGCAACGTTGTTGCGAATCAAGATGAAATCCTGAAGAAACTCGCTGATATGGAGTCGAAAACTAACTCGCTCTCCCAGTACCACTCCTCCTTTGAGTCGAGTGTTGGGAACTTAAACCGGCGAATGGATCAGGTTCAGAGGAACGTTGGCTTTGCAAATGGGGAGGTGAGAGAAATGTCAGGTCTCGCTGAGCAACTAAAGTATGAGTTAGAGGCGTTGAAGAAAGAAGAAGCCAATAGAGTAACAAGAAACGAGCTGATTGCGGTGAAAACAGACGTTCTGAAGAATAAGGGTACTATGAGGGATAGTAGCTCAGCTATCAGACGCGACATGAATAACAAACCAAGGTAAAAATACTGTTTATCATTAGTCTTCCAGATACTTACTAGGACAACAAAAATGCAAACTACAGCTGTACTCCCCCTCTTTCACGCTCCCCTGTACATTGTACAACGCCGTTATTTTATGTTAAATTGACACTGCGCTATCAGTAACAGTAACAGTAAGTATCATTCTTCACGACACCGAAATTCTACATTGGGAAACAGCTGTAATTTAGCTGCATAATACTGAAGGAGAGACCTGAATTTGAAATTGCACCGGTGAAAGATCCCGACTGTACGAATCTAGGTAAAAGAATTCGTGAGTCGATTTGTCATATAACCGAATCCTTGCTTAACACAAACATCATGTTGGAAATCCCTGTCATCCCTCATATATGAAGTCTGGACAGCAAGAACTCCAAAAATATGCGTAACACTATTTCATATCACTAAGTATAATCCAAAATACGAATGGAACCATTAGAGACCGACTCGAGCTATACAATTTCAATATAAATAAGCCCCTATTTCAACTTATTCACTCATTGTTGCACTGACTTTTGGACCGTCCTATATATATATTCAATATATATATATATTCAACTCGAGAACGTGAAACTGAAGAGTATAGAATTTATTCTCAATATATGACACATGTAACTGCGACTACTTTTTTTGAGCAGTAAAATGTAAATATCTTATTTATCGGCGGAAATATAGATTGAATTCGACATCTGGGGCTGATTGTCTCATACTGTTGGGAAATAGTAATTTAGCGGAGAGGTGGAACTGGAATTGTGCGAGTTTGTAAGCAGTAGGAACATTGAATGTGTTAGCGATTAACCAATCATCTGCCAATTAACCAGATTAAAACAGCCATGCATGATGCACCACCTCCCCACTATTATCCAGGCAGCTGTAAGTGTAACTTTACGACTACAAATAACTCTTGATTTCCCCAGTCCGGTTATCATACTGAGCAGCGAAGAAAAGAAGCCTAAAGGAAATCCCAAATGTGCTAGAGTCTGTGCTGGAACTACAGGTAATTGTTTTACATTATTTATTATTAACATAGCTATTTTTATTCCGAGCATTATAACTACAAGTACAAGAGCCACATTCCACTGTCCACGGCTTTACGATCAGTCGATTATTCTTGGCATGGTTATCTACAATTATAAATAATCATTCTCAACATCGACTCTTAAAATGAGAAGATCATTTTCTTAATAATATAATAGGCAATAGTTGTAATACTGGCTACTATAATAATAATACTGCAAAACATCTAACATCCGCGAAGTTCCGCATCTAATGCGCGCGTTCTTTCTGTCAAGGTTTATAAAACACTTTCACCTTTTATTGTAAATTAAATTTAGCGTCATACATTTCACTTCAACTTAAAATGTGACTGAAAATACGGTTCCACCTGATCATCCTCAATAAATAAAAACAAGTTACTGTCCAAATATTGTGTGCATGATAATTGAAATGGCATCATTCTTAAGTGCAGCTGGATGTGTAATACCAAAATGTTGATACCAAAATAGTTCTCAAATTCTCGGTGAACAAAACCCCCTTCTGAAACCCAAGGTGGAAAAGATCAATTGTATAGGAATATTCACTTGCACTGTAAAACCTTCAAACTTGATATGACCTCAAAAGAAAATTAGATGTATTTACTATTGTAAACTCTTTTAAATTAGATCAGAAGGAAAGCTCTATCCTAACCTTAGTCCAGTACTTATGTAGTTTTCGCAAGTAAAAAGTGGCATCTGATTCCACAAAATATTTCATTTAAAATCGACGTTTTGATGGTAGTGTCACGAATATTTCACATCACAATTGAGTAGATAACTACGATGAGTGGTAGAAGGACTGAAGTGATGGTAGTAGCACTGTTCTCCTCGTTACAGCTGTCAGTGTCACACTCAACACAAGTGTTGTTAGCAGCATCAGTAGCACAGGGTCCACATCCATTGTGAGGGAAAGAGTAGTCTGCATCAGCTGCTTCTCCAGGTCTGAGGGACGTATATTTAATCACTAACAGTATTACCGATGGAATAAAATAAAATGAAGGAAGGTGTATCTTTACATGGCCATTTGCATTGTAGGCCCCCTGTAGCTGTAGTAAAACCCCAGTTTACCGTGCAGCTGTTTACTTCCTCTAAATTGCACAGTAAATCGTTTCCCCTAAGACTACTAATCATTAAACAAATTTAATTTTTACGATCTTCTACTTTAACTCAATTTGAATGATAAATAAAATGTGACTTTATCCTAATATCTATAATACTAATAATCGATTGGGCGACATCTGTCTGAAAATAGTTTATTCAGACAATAGTTTATGTCGGATCCTACCGTGCGATTTTCTTGAAACTTTCCATAAAGTATGGTGGTTATAGGACGGATAATCTGTGTAAGTTTGAGCGAGTTTCTACGTGCCAAATTTGAGATATCACTTCAAACACAAGAAAATAGTTCTGTCGGACAGATGTCGCTGTCGGACAGATGTCGTGTTACCTGTTTGGACTGAGCGAGTTCATACTCCTCTAACTACATTAAATTAATTCCTTCTGTAACGTCCTCAATAAATGTAAAAGATTTGTAGTGTTGTAATTAATTACCTGTTGCATTTTATCAGAGTATCTACAAATCTGCCACATAAAGTGAACTCAGTTTGCTTTACCCAAGATGTCTCCGTGTTGTTCCACGCATAATTGTAACACTCGAAGTTTTCTCCAACCTCGAGAGGTGTGTTGCATCCATCAGTATCACAGGTAGAGCAAGTCGTACCTTTTTCGGCAAGCAAACAACCCCCACATTTGTATTCACCGCTGCTCATTCCAGTGTATTCATTGAACTTAGGCCTGGATAACAAAAAGTGTGATATACGATTCACTCTCAGGAAGCACGTGAAAAACTTTGGTATTATAAAACATGGATAACTATAGCTTAGATGTCCCAACTCTGAATGACGTGCTACGGCATAATGGGAATCGGATCTGTTGATCCATCAGCTCTTATCCCAATAAACTGTGAATAGTCGATATTCATTCTGCATACTAATTTCAAAGTCAAATTGTTTGTTTGCTGTCTTTTTCCTTAATATAAGGGACCAGGTTCCAACATGGTGGATCAATTGATGGTTACTGAAAGAGGGGAGTAAGACCAATAAGATTCATTTCAGTTTATGATAAAAATATTAATCCTAGCCAAACTTATTGCAAATTGAAGGGTCAGCGCACATATGAATATTGCAAAGGGCGCATGATTTTCGGTCGCAAACATCTCCAAATGGCAAATTTTGCAACTTAAATTTCCTACTCCTCCTAAATATTTTGAGCAATCAAAATTCAAACTTGATAGGCAAATTAACATAAATAAATGTCGATTTAATTTAATACGACAAAGACCTTGCCAGTCAAAACATAGTTGCTGTACTTGAAAAATACGGTTTCGTACAGCTAGTATCCAGGCCCACCCGTATTACTGATCATTATGCAAATCTAATTGATCACGTTTATACAAATGACGTGCTCAACACACTAAGCTGCAATGTATTAACTGTGGATATCTCTGACCATTTAGCGACCCTAACCACAATATCACTCGGAAATAATTTACAGAAGAATGGTAGAGTGAGTGCGAGTCGTGAATAGCCCGTTATAGCACGTGAGTTCAATGAAGCAAGTAATCATGAATTCAAAAGTCTGATCATGAGTGAAAATTGGAGTGAAGTTCTCGAGCAAGTGAGTGCCGACGAGCAGTATAACAAATTTAGCGAGACGTATTCAAGGTCAAAAGCAAACTTTTGACCCTGGAGTTTTGGAAGAATTTCTCAGGGGTCTCTGTATCAACTCAATTTTTTTTTTGTGTATGGTGTAGTAAAAAGTGTAGTAAAAAAGGTACACTTTTAATAACACTTACGACCAGTCACACCAGAAGACGTCCATAGCATTATAAATACATTAAAGAACAAGGCCACCCTTGACAAGAAAATTGGGCATATGAAAATAGCTAATATACCGATGTTAACTTTACTGGCACAGTAATACCAGTGCACAAAGGAGGCCTGAAAACTGACGTTACGAACTATAGGCCCATATCATTACTGAGCTCTTTCTCCAAGATCTACGAAAAACTTATGCAACTTAGTCAATATGGTTTTAGACCTGGAATGTCATGTGAACATGTCCTACTAAACGCCCAAAATACCATACTTCAATCACTTCACAGTAAACAAATCGCTGTGCTACTTCTACTAGATTATTCAAAAGCATTTAATGTTATTGAGCATTCTATTCTGCTCAGAAAATTAGAACATTGTGGTATTTTAAAAATGGCTCGAATCTTATTTGAGCGACCGCCAACAGTTCGTCACTATCAATGGAGCTGACTCGAGCCCTAAGCCTAGGGTACATTTCCCGAAAAACACCCTAGGGCGTTTAATTCGAACAATTGAAACAAATCAAATTGGCGGGCAAACGATCCGTTTCATGATATGTATAAAACAATACCAATCATCAGTGCCCGCTAATTTGATTTGTTTCAATTGTTCGAATTATGATGCTCCTGCTTAACTGCAGTCGAGCACTCTCTTTGGGAAACCAAACAACAACTTTTAGTTTGACGATAACATCGTTTATTTTGTAATGTTATTTAATGCTCCTAGCAACAGCTAGTAGAGCCCTTTTGCTAGAAGAGAAAACTAAAGCTGTATATATATATGGATTCCTCCAAAAAAACATTGCATCATATATATTATATATATATATATAATAAATAGTTGTTGCTTGGTTTCCCAAAGAGAGTGCTCGACTGCAGTTAAGCAGGAGCATTATAATTCGAACAATTGAAACAAATCAAATTGGCGGGCAAACGATCCGTTTCATGATATGTATAAAACAATACCAATCATCAGTGCTGAATGCTGATGATTGGTATTGTTAATTGTTTTATACATATCGTATCATGAAACGTCTCGTTTGCCCGCCAATTTGATTTGTTTCAATTGTTCGAATTATATATATATATATTATGATTGGCTACTGGGACACGTCATACACACGGTTGGATTGTTAATTCGGTTGAAATACCTTTAAATCCATTATCACCATAATCTGAACATGATTTATTAAAATTTTTTTAATTATATATATATATGTTATTAGTCAGCCACAACTATCAGTAAAACAACGCCTTGACTTCAAATGTCGGTAAAATGTACCTTTACAGTCATCCTCAAATTATTTGTTATATAGTAGTGTTGAAAGTATTAAAACTTTAAAAGTATATATATATATACAAAATGAAACGACCGGTTGAGTCAGACAAATGTTTCAATCATGATACAAAACCTGAAATTTGTAACTCTCGGCTTGCCGATTGAGCACTGTCAGCATACGACACCACCCACAATTATATGTATACAGTTTTAATACTATCAACACTTCTATATAACAAATAATTTGAGAATTGATGTAAATAAATGATGCAAAGAATTACGAGGATCTAGTCAATACCGCTTTTTTATTGTGTAGAAGTTCAGCAATGAAATATATATATATATACTCAGTATGTTTTAGTTTTGTACCGTTTTAAGTCACATAGTTTTGTACGTCTTCCTAAGATTTGTTATCCTTTCCTAGTTTGTAAGTTATTTTAAAGATTTGTGTATATTCCAGTTGCTTTTAGAACAATTTTATCTCAGATAACGATGTTTAATAAATGATGCAAAGAATTTCGAAGATCTAATCAACACCGACTTTTAATGTGTAGGAGTACAGCAACGAAATATATATATATATGTGTTTATCCGTACCATTTTACTGACACCACGGCATCAACTTTAACACGACTTTCCGCGAAAACCGTAAAAGATATACAACTGAAACTTTTTGACTGGGTCAAATACTTTAATGGCCTCCAAATTAGCATGAAAAAATAAAAATTTTGGCCAAGGAATAGGAATTTTAGAGCCCAAAATTTGGACCCCCAAGTGGTGTCAAAATGTACTTCTTATACTCTGACAGAAAGTTCCAGAGAGTTTTATTTGTCTGCACTTAAAATGTATCATCTTTGAAGTTACCAGCAAAAGAATAGGATTACTTGATCAATTCGATTGGGTTTTTGCATTGCATCGGCATTCGGCATGTATTTTCTATAATAGGTTAAAAGGAATCTAAGATAGTGACCTAAAATCTTATGTCAACCTCCCGGACTAATGTGGATTAGAAAAAAAAATTAGTCTATCATGATGGCTAAACACGTTGCACGATGTAATAAATTTATTTGGAGTCGTCAATTAATTTATAATTATCAGTATCACTGTACATTTTTGCTGAATTTTCATGATAAATTTACAAATTTTCTGACTGCTGGCTTAAAATTGATATCTTATTCAAAAATATTAGAATCGATAAAACGTTTGATCTGATCAATCGATTTTGATACTTTGAATAGTAAAATTTGTAGAATTTCTTGAATTCTCATGTTGATTTATCTTGGAGACATCTATCGTAAAGATATTTGAAGTGTTTGTTGTCTCCTCCACGGCACATTTTTCTGTTGCTCATAAATCATACAAAAAACAATCACAAAGAAAATACGCACTGACTGCACGTCTCAACGTTATCGGAACAAGTTACAAGACTAGCAGATCCGTCATCTCCAACAATACATTGCAGTGCCCCTGAAAAGAAAGAAATTGAAAGTACATATTTGGTTGTTGGTCTCTTACATTATTGCAGCTCCTATGCTATGGGAGGCTTTTTCTGTAATTGTCTACACAAATTCTGAATAATCTGTTTAAAGATCAACTTGGCCTGTTATAAAAAATTTTAACTCGGACCTAATTTTAGGAGCGCAGCAAATTCCCTTGTTATAAAAATTCGGGGGGCCGGGGGGGGGGGGGAGGGTTGTAACATGTCCGCCACGACTGTCGTGTGCGCCACACTTTTCACTTAAAACGATTACTGGTACAACAGCTACAACTACATTGGCATTGTAAGGGAAATTGATCGTGCGTGGTGTAAGGCCCGTGTAACCGCAGCGAAATTCTTGTTACTTATGAAGCACAACATACCTGTCATATTGAAGAGTTGTAGTGTGGCAAAGAGTATAAGCTTCATCCGATTGATCTGTTCCATTTTCTTAGAAATAATAATAATAATAATTGGGTAGTACATAATATTGGGTAGTACATAATATTGGGTAATTTGAGTATTTAATAATAATAACAATAATAGCAGCCCAAGACCAAGCACTTAGGACTAATTATGTAAAGCACAGGATTGACAAAAAACCTGGCTCTTCTCCACTCAGCAGACTCTGCAGAAATCATTATGAGACAATAGATCACATACTGAATGGGTGCCCACAACTTTCACATACAGAATATAAGTGTCGGCATGAAAAAGTAGCTGCCGCATTGCACTGAAGTCTGTGCAAGGAATACGGCTTCCCACGCAGTAAAAAGTGGTACGAACACCGAGCAGAGAAGGTGCTGGAGAACGAAAAAGTCAAGCTATTGTGGGACTTTCACATCCAGTCAGACCACGTTATCGAGCACTGCAGACCGGATCTTCTTCTGGTAGAGTTCCGTGGCAGAGTTGCAGTCAGTAAACTGACTGGTTGGCAGTGATGCACGCCGGTTCATTTTTCGCCAACCGGCGGCGGCGTGCCCAAAATGGCCCGGCGTGGCGGCGTTCGCAGTTCGGCGGCGTGGAACATAATTTTGTCAAAATTTAGGTTTAAATTTCCAGGCCCACAAAAATTGTGGCGTACGTGCGTGCATGAAATAATGATGTAATAAGTGTGGTTTTTACAATTATATTTGGTGGTTTTTACAATTATATTTAAGAAAAACCAAATTCTTAACATTGTCGTTGGACAATTTGGATCTCCTAAAGTTCAAAATCAACCCCGACTGGCTTCATACTCTTTCTATTTCCTTTCACGCCACGCCGACTTGAGAGGTATCGGCGTGGCGGCGTGTGAAAATGTGCCGGCGCGGCGGCGTCCGGCGGCGGCGTGCATCACTGCTGGTTGGGGTCATTTATGCAGCAGATCTTCCTTGAAAATATTCATGTCTATATCTGATATCTTTCTGCCCACCATATCTTCTTTGTGGCTTCCTTTGTGGTGAGGAAAGGCAATAGAGAAATTTACAAAGTAGTGATCTGATGTTGTAACTGTTTTGACTACGTTTATATATTTAATATTCAACTTTTAAATAACTTTTAACGAAGGCTCAGACTTGCAGGTCATGCTTACCGACATCCGGAGCTGACACTGAACAAACTGATCCTCTGGAAGCCGAGTCATGGGCATATTAACAGGGGGCGACCTCACTTAACACTACTAGATAACCTAATAGCAGATACTGGGCTGAAGTCAGTAGATGAGATAGCTAGAGTGAGTGACGGTCTAGCTGCTAGACTGATGGAAGACAGAAAGCTGCGGAGAACTGTTGTCAATCGATCTCGGGAATACTACCCGCCTTAAGGCCAAAGGGGGGGGGGGGGGGGGGGGGTCCGAGGTCAATTTTGAGATATGTTGTAGGGCTCGATCTAAATTTTCAAATGCTTTTGTCCTTACCGAAAACAAAGTTTCCTATTTGAAGATATCGCGCGTTGAATTTTGAGATTTACCTGTAATTCTATTGTAAATGAAAACTTTAAATGAAATTGTGTTCGAAATCTATCTTCTTTTTCAGTTTATGGACACGTTCAAAAAAAGGTGGCACTAGAGATTGATTTTTTTAAATGCGTTTTAAAAATAATCATTGTTCTTTGTTGGTTGATATATCTATCTATACCTTTAGAAATTCGATTAAATTTCATGATCCTGAAATCACGGAGTCTCTAGTGCTTATATTACAGGAGTTATCGTTATTTGTGTGCCAATGATTCAAATATCACACAATTAGAAATGCAAGATGAATCAACACTAGATAATCTGAAAAGTACTATTCACAAAGACGCCAAAATTGATATCATGGTGACTATAATGCATGTAAGGAATGGAATGTCTTATCTGAAATTGTTATTGGTGCCAAAATGATTCAAAAATCACAACTTAAACGTTGGAAATGAGCCTATTTTGAGCAGTGATTATTGAATCATCTTACGTTTTTATTGGCTTTCTATCATTTTTAGGGTACAAAATAGTATTAAATAGTATTAAAACCAGTTAATATGATTCAAAAATCACATTTTCGTTAAAGGTGCGCTATTAAGTCACACTATAGTAAGCCTTAAATTAAGTGCACGATATGACAATTTATATCCATTCTATGATTCTTATTATGTGATTTTTGAATCCATGTCTAGCTTATACCATATTGAAGGCCTTTGAGCGATAATTTTTGATCTCGGTGCTTAAATGATTCAAAAATCACACAAATCTGGCTACCAAATATGTAATTTCCTTTAAAGTGTGATAATTGAATCATACGTAATGTTCAAGTTGTAATGAAATTTTGAAAGTAAAGGTAATGAATCGATAATCACATTTCAAAAATCCGATTAAGTATTATATGTTACTGATATGATTCATTTGTCACATTATGGCGACAAAATTATCATGGCTTGAGCTGTAAAAGTACTAGTTTACTCAGTTTAAAATCAGTTTTTTGTGATTATTGATTCCACTATTACTCTAATAACGAACTTCTCCATGACCATAAACAAGTGTCACAACAAATTACTGCAGATTTACTATGAATACCAACCTGATATAGAGCCAAAAAGTGATACATTCCCCTGATACAGCATAATTTCAATACATGCTCATTTATGTGATTTTTGACTCATTATGGCACTTTTAACCATCTAAATTATCTAAATATTAGTTAGCATGATATAATTGTGATTGATAGAGTTCATTGTTACAATCGTTCCGTTGATATTCATATCACATTCATCATTCTAAAACACTTAGTCAGAATTAACCCTGTGTGTGATATTTGCATCGTAACTCCACATTTAACCGGTGATACTTTGCACTTTTAACACTCAACTATCTCAAAAAGGTTCAATAATCACATTGAGAAGCAGGACACACTCACAGAATGTAAATTCATCATTAGAGGTGCAAGAAATGAATATTTTGTGATTTCTGGCTCATATCTGCACAATTAACAGATATAAAGAGATGAATGACTTAATTATGTGATATTTGAATCTTTTTGGACCACATATTAAAATTTGGTTAACTTTCATAGCATACTCCTTGAGATACAAGTATTTTAAAATGCTTCACACAATTTTGACAGTGAAAAATCAATCTCTAGTGCCACCTTTTTATGAACGTGTCCTTATGACTTAGAACCTTGTAACTTGGCAACAATGTTCTTCAAGGTATTTTGAGTTTTTTTTATGAAACGATTTATGATATCTTGCTCCAAAGCTGAGATATGAGGTTAATCATGAGCGAGTGCGGGTTACAAAATTTACAAAATTAAAAATGGTTAACCTCATAAAAAGAGTTAGGAGCAAAATTACAACAATCGTTACATAACAAACTTTTAAATTTATGTCAGGAACATAAGTTCCAAATTTGAGGTGAAAAGGATAAAAGCTCTAGGAGAAGATAGGTTTTTGAGGTGGTAAATAAATTGTTCAGGAGAGTCAAAAGACTGATTCTGAGAAAATATGTTAACCTCAATTTTCCAACAAATAAAGGACATATAATAGTTCTGTTCACATTGGATGGCCAATTGATACCCATTGATAAGTTTAACTTGTGATGAGAGCATCAAAATGTTAAGAACTGGTTATTTGTGAAGTTGTGAGGTTAACTGATTAAAAAGGCAATAGTTAACCTCAATTTTACGACAAACTAGGCGGTCTGGGGGGCTAAGGGTGGTGTGCAAGCGCCAGTACGTGGGCTGCCAACTGGCAAAAAACGTTTTTTCGACCTCGGACCCCCCCCCCCCCCTGTGGACTTAAGAGAGAGAGAATAAGAGAGATATACAACATATCAGACGCATTGCTTCTAGTAAGAACAAGGTCCAAAATTCCACCCCCAATGTGTGTTGTACCGGAAATATGCTGGATGAGGCTATAGTTTGATATGAGACGGGAAAAGTTCATTGTATCAGGATCAGTGAGGTCTTCGACATGGATATTGAAGACTCCAGCAATGATCAGTCTGCCGGGGAGGTGGGTTAAGGCCAGAGGGGGGGGGGGGGGGGGGGGGTAAGGGGTCAAAAACATCAACCAAAATATTATTTTCTAAATCAATATAATTTTTGATGACAAAAACATTGCTGCTATTCACATATTTGTAGCTGCTTAACTTTGTTTAATAATTGAGGTTAACCGATTTTCACAAAATTGACTATACGACATTGAGGTTAATAAAATTGAGGTTAATATTTTATTACACTCCATAATTTTTTGTTATCCCGGTCTATGTCAGCAAATTTTAACTCTAAATTTTAGGTTCATAATTATCAGAAAAAGTAATTTCCAAACGTGATTAAATGAGGTTAACCTCTTTTTTTTAGATATAGCGAGAATAGATCAAATTTGATAGAGCTATTATTTTCATCGTTAGTTTACGGTATACAGATTTCTAAATAGGTGACGTGTTGATTGACTTTCTTTTATCTTGGGAAAATGAAAAAATGAGGTTAACCATCACATTTTGGTACCGTAGGGAATATACATACGATTCTTACTTATGTAATGTACCACAATATCGCAGTGAGGTATCTATTGGTATCACAATACCTGCAACTATAATCACGTGACAAAGGTGATTTGAACTGACCATATTTTAATAGAAGATTTTATCCGTAAATGGCTAAAAAATGAGGTTAACCTCTCATTTTTTGAATATCTGACCAGTCAAATACATGTTAACCTCAAAAACTTAATCGTTACATTGTGGAAATGTTTTACTACATATATAATAACATATTAATAAACCAATCCCAGTGTTACATGGTCTTAAGCGAGGTCAACAACCAATTTTTTACTACTTTTAAGCAGTAAGTGTTTACAGGAAGTCTTGGTTAACCTCATTTTTTACAATACAATTTTGAAAACACTAAATAGCATCTACCTCAAAACACATTTTGTGACCTTTCGATCCGATTCCTTAGTTGAGAAAACCGGCCACTCCCTGATCTTGAGGTTTGGTACAGTGGTTCCTTGGACAATTATTCTCATTTATTATGCAGCGATTTTTTTAAATTTGACTCGTTTCTCGAATTATGAGGTAAACAAGCTAAATTTTCCGAATTTTTGACATGGTTAACCTCATAATTCGAGAACCGAGTCAAATAAAAATCGCTGCATAATAAATGAGGATAATTGTCCAAGGAACCACTGTACCAAACCTCAAGATCAGGGAGTGGCCGGTTTTCTCAACTAAGGAATCGAAAGGTCAAAAAAGTTACAGCCGTTTAAAGATCCAGTTTAACATGTAATAACAGGTAAACCTCAAAATTTAGCGCGCGATATCTCAGGAACGCAAGGTCAGATTTTGATTAGGTTTTTTTCTTCTTGTTCGTCTCCAGCAGCTATTATCAAATATGTGAAAACTAGAAAAGTGCCATTTCCCCCCCCCCCCCGCCCCTCTGGCCTTAAACTGTCGAGATATTCATCAAATTCCCGTAAAAAGTCTGACATTTTGGACATTTTAGCTGTACAAGATCGATAAACACAGCATAAACGAAGAAGATCATTAGAAGTTGACTTCATCACACACTCAACATGTTCAAATGATTTGTGGGTCTTGGTAGGTCGTTTATTGAAGGTAAGATCTTTCTTAAAGGCAATAGCGACACCATCTCCTCTACCTGCTCTAGATTGATGAACAATATTATAGCCTAGGTCTTTTATTACCGCTATTTTTGATGTGTCTCCTTTACGTAGCCAAGTTTCTGTCAGAAAACATGCATTGATATTGGAGTCAGACAGTTGCTCAAATACTTGTGCCGTTTTATTACATAGTGACCTCGTGTTAAACAGTCCGACATTTAGGTTGAGAAGCGTAGTCTTTACATGTTTTTTGAGTACTCTGTTCTTTGTCGAAGACTCTCTTTCTCCAGCCTTATCATGGGACAGTTTTCAGCACCAGAGTGATGGGTGTTTCAAGATTCTCTGTATGATTCATAAGTGGAGTGTGAGCAATTGGTGCATCTGTGACTTCTTCTGACTTTCTGACCTCTTTGTAGGGACAAGCCCGGGTTATGTGTGATGCACTACAATACATACAAATAACATCAGCTTCCTTGCACTGAGATGAAATGTGTCCCAGTTTCTGACATCGGAAGCACTGCTTAAGATCAAATCTATCGACTACATTACATCTGGAATTTCCTATGTAAATGGACTGATTGTTTAACTGGAAATGCCTTATTTCAGGAGACACTTTAATCCCAACCGTAGTGTAGTCTCTTCCATAATTGACATACACAACTTTAAATGTTCTATCATGATTGGTCACCAAATCTTTAACATAATGATACTTTTCCAAAAGCTTCACTTCCA